AATTTTTATGCGCAACGCGTGTTAGGATCGTTGCCACTGATCCCTCGGAATATTTATATACACGTATAGATGTATATATACAATATTTATATTTATATATATATCCCTCGTCAGTGTAAGTCGTATAATGTGCGGATTATTGACCTCCGGTACTGATTACTACTATTGTTACTGTTATGTCCTTATTGCTATTAACTATAGCTAATGCTAGTGCCCAGACTATTAATATTTAACGCAACGATGTACTGTTGTATATTATTTTATACCGCGATCACAACCACCCTACTTAGATGTATATTTATATATATACATACATTATTTGTATATGAAAAATCGGTCTGCGTGTACACTCACGGGCGAGAGACAGAGACACACGTTACATGTATAATTTAGATTTTAGGATGACGATCGCAAAGTGCAATCTACCGCCATTTCTCAGTCACTAAAAAGTTAAGGCACCGGATTAGGTGGGAACGACCCTGCGGAGTTTTCGGCCCCCCTGCACGATTTTGCACGATTTTGCACATTGTTCGGTCGAAGTTACGCATTTTTATTTTTCATTATTATCTCTCCTACTGACTTCCACAATTTCCGACAAAACATTTAAATAAGAAAAATCACGCGTGTATGTAAAAAAGGAAACATCAACGATCTCTTTTTTTCCGACATGGATGAAACCATTAGTCTCAGGAATTCACCCGTTTCATTGCAAATAATCGCGGAAATTGAATTTGCCGAAAAATTTAACCCCGACACGTGCAAAACCGTCCAGGTTGGCCGGAAACTGCAAATGGTCATTCTCGGGTAATATAGGATCTCTGAAAGAAAGTTTCCGCGAAGCCGCAGCTGTGACAGACCACGAGATCGAGGGGAAACAATAGGCGATAACACGAAAGAAAGTACCCTGAATGAGGAGAAATTGCAATTATTCCGAATTTTCATACAAAAAGGGGTGGACGTTTATCGGCAACCGAGGAGGATCCGAAAGCTCTAACGACCGTATTTCCCACATAAGTGATCCACTTAACACGGATAAACAATTAAATTTAACGTGAAAAATCGAGAGTCCGAGGGGGTACGTTTGGTTGAGAGAAAATGGGAGACGAGAGTGAGAGAGAGTCGAGAGTGAGTGCTGATAAGTCCGTTAAGTCGCAAGAGTTAAGTAGAGAGAGAGAAAGAGAGAAAGAGAAAGCGAGAGAAGGAGAGAAAGAGAGGGAGAGAGAGAGAGAGAGAGTAGAAGACCCTGGAATAAGTGGGAGATAAAATACCGTAAACGAGCCTTAATCGATAAGTTCTTCTCGGAGTTAAGAGTTAATGGTTAATTAGATGTCAAGACCAGATTAACACAAAAGGAAAGCCCTATTAGACAGTACACTTACGGATGTTATTTAAGGCATTAAAGGTAACCGATTAGCGTGTTAATTCGTTATTAATTGACCATCTACGATTATATAGTCGATACGTAACGAGGGTTAAGCCTACGAATTAAGCTGCTTGTTGCATTTAAGACCGCCAAAACTCGGGAAAGAAAGTGAACTGTGACCATTAATTAATATACGTGTCTCCTGTGGTTAATCGTAATTCACCTTAACGAGGACGATGTTTCCTTTCTGTACTATATTACGGTCTCTTTATTAGAAGTATTGTATTTGTAACCAATGTGGCGGGTACGATATTTCGCACATACATTCGGTATAACATGACCACGATTGTTGATTATTGCAGTGATACGAAGATGACTGTGTCGAGTGTATATTAACCAGATTTAGGGAAACCTGCTCCCCGTAAACCTGGAGACGTGCACGATTTTCCTCAATTTTCTTTTTCAATTTCATTTTTTGCTACTGCACATTTTACATGAAAATTCTTTTCTTTCTAATTCAAATTGAAACTGAACTTTTTATGTGAGGATTTCACCCGGCTTTGAAAAAGCTCGATTTTTAATATAACGCGTGGGAATAGTCATTGAAAAAGAATATTCAAAATTATTTTTTATCGAAATTTTGCGAAGAGTCGGAAGAGCTCGAAGTTCCTTTTTGGAGTTCTTTTCGACATTCGAGCTCGTGTATGTCTCCGGGTTGTACTTGGAGCACGGAAAATGCAAATTACGTTATTATTAACAATTTCCCCTGGTCCGATCCCACCCGATCCTGTCGATGATAAGAGATACGAGAGCACGAGTATAAGAGACGGTGCTCTCTATTTTGCTCCACAATGGGTGATCTTGGAATAACTAATTATTTATAATTTTCTATCGATTACGAGAAGTCGTCGCAAAAATGCAGACCTTTGCATACGCGTTGAGCTGCGCACTCGATCGTAGAAGTATTTATTATTAATAGACGGACATTAAATAGCGGAACAAAAAAAAAAGGAAAACTGTCGGAAGTGTGTAATTTTGGTGGTGGTGATTTTGCGTGGTTTTGCAGATACTGTCGCTGAGAAATATTGTACGACTTGTTTTATTTTATTTTTTTAATAATAACTTTATCTCTGAGTGAACACTTGACGTTCGGCGGATTCAGGTCTATTTCCCTTAATGAGTTCATTGACAAATTCGAGTAGCGTAGCGGTTAAGAAAACTCCATTTTGCACTTTTTCCATTTTTTTTTTTTTTTAATTCACGAACCATTCATTCGACCGAGATTGTATCCCTAACCTACGACTATTTATCCATCCCATTAATATTTAATATACCACCGCCCACTGTCATGTCCGAATTTCTGTATAAAGTACTCTCAGGATGGGTGAAAGAAGGAAATATTCCGATTTTTGAAAAACTGAGCAGAATTCTTTAAGTAGCGATTGTTCATTTATCCAGGAAGTGCTTTCATACGATGAAGTGAAAAATGATCTTGACTTTGGCTTGTTTTTATTGCTGGTACCATGGAAAGTCGAAGTTACGTTTCGGTTGCCTCTCGCCCCAACATCATTTTTCACTCGACAATCCTTGGCCCACTAGATCCCACGTGTATAAAACAATTTTCTCCTTTCTTCCCACAGAAGCCTCCCCGATCCCAAAATTCAAGGTCAACGAGACCGGCAGCCCGATTTTCATCCAAAACGGTGACGCAGCTCCTGGTCCTCAGCGGTTCTCCTTGACACAGCACACGAATTACCACCCTTACAGACGTTAGACAATTCGATTGGCCAGAAAGCTAATTCACCCTGGAGGGACTCAAAAGGGGCTTGAGATTCGCGTTGCAACGGAGGGGTAGAAGAAATGTCAGCAAAGACGTGCGAAAGTACTCTTAAAGATCTTACGCGACTAACGAGCGACTGCATCGACCTTTAGACGAGCTTTCATTGAGACCGGATATTACTCCTGGAAGCCTAAATCATTGTCACGTTTTATCAGCAGGATTCGATAGACGTGAGATTTAGAAACGTTCCCGTAAAGAAACTCTGCCGCGTACGTGCCGTGCTCTTGGCGCGCGACTCAGTCGAGATATAAAAAAAAAACGCGAAAACGTGAGAAAGTCGTCGATAGTGGGGGAGATCGAACCGAGCGGGCTCGGTTTTCTCGATATTTCGGGGAAGAAAGATTTTCCAAAATTTGTAGGTAGCGGCAGATCGAACTTTGCAATTTATAACGCACACGACGGTACTCCCTTTACGAAATTTTTGCTCATTCACGCGAGATTCCAGGTTTCTTTTTTCTTTTCTTTCGTCCACGCGGTGCCTGTAACACGCGAGAAATCTTTACCCGAGTACTTATCCACGTGATACGACTTTTAGATGGGATCCCGATTGTTTTCCTTGACTCGATCGACGTTGGCGGAAGAATCGCCATTTTCTATGAATGCCTTCGGCTGTCATTCTCGATGTATACTTGTAACTCGTTTATAGGGTTCGTACTTAGGGAATTAAGTTAGTGGACTGTTTAATAGGAGAGTAAATATGACCGCTGCAAGGTGGTGGCGACGATGGTATGTATTAAATTAATCTAAACAAACTGAGTTTCATGACGTTGTGCTCGGTTCTCGTCGACGTCCACTTCGGTCGCTGAGAAAAGAATGGAGAGGGAATTTATGCGTGGATTTTTTCAAATTCGACCTCGCTCGGTATTCCTAGACATCTCTTCTCCGGGACGGAATTTTTCGCGCGATCTTCGATACGTGACTCCTTGGTAGGAAACATTTCTCGTTAATAAAAAATGAGCTAATTCATTTTTTTTAATTCGCAACAAGATGTTTCGAAATCGAAGTCGACGGACGCGTCGATCACGCCGATAAAAACCGCGCCGGGAATTAATTCGAAGGATAAATCATCCCCTAGAAACTGAGCCTATGGGGTCCCTGACTGAATTATAAAAAAAGAATAATACCACGCGAAACTAGCCCGGGCAACGCCGGTCTTAACGTCTATATTAACGTCGTCTATCTCACGTTACCTGACCTTAACCTATCCCAACCTCCCGAAACTACAAATTCTACAATACCTTGAATGAAGAAAAAGATTTGACGGCATTTATACAAGTAGTACGTATAAACATATACACATATATTGCACACATGGAGATCGCCATAAATGTCCCATTGAGTAAGGAAAGACTTGACTTCACCTGCCAATCTGACTCCGCCGTCGATGAATCTAGACGTCCTTGCCTTGACAAAAAAGAAAAGAGATATCACTTCTTCTCGGCATATACACACGGAATATAATAACCAGGATTATTTTCATAACTCGAGACTTTCCAAACGCTATTCGTGTCTCCATATTTCGCCTGGAGCGACATTCGTCGAGAAATCGCTAGCGAGTCGCTCTTCGACTCCTGGTTGGTTGAAAAATCCGGCTTGCCGAGTCCGTACTTGGCGATCGTTCCGTAAATACTCTCGCCAAGTCCACCAAAAAGTTCCAAAGCCTCGACGATCCGCCACCCTTAACAACCCTCGGCGGGTGAACGACTCGTCCCGCTCCTCCTTATCTCGCCTATCTCCTCGTCCGCGGTCTAACATGTCCTAGCACCAGTACTACGTTCTTTTGTGCGATTCTAACAGGCTCCGGATACGGATCATCGACCCTCGCGAGCGTTCCCGCCGCCCCAGGAACCAACGACAGCTACAGCAGCGGAGGGCCCCAAAGGGGTTACGCGGGATCCGGCGTCAACAATTACCATCCCTATCGTCGCTAAGGATTAACGAGGTCTCTCTTTCCCTCTTGGCCCCGTGCGTAAGCGGGTTGCGCCCATAGTCGAGGTGATAAGTACATGCCTCGGGCTCGCTTCCTGCCGACCTTGAGAAACCTGAGCGAAAAGGATTGAGAAAAAAAAAAAGAAAAAGAATCAGATACGAGGAACCCATGAATACGTGCCGAGTGCAGTAAGTGTGCGTGCAAGTGTGCAAGTGCGAATCGCGGGTCCAGAATGAGTGCGTGAGGCTGGCAGAGGGAGCGAGTGTAGGGGTGAAAAAGCGAGATTATCTGCCATTGAGAGGGCCGACAGACGAATCTGTAACGAGCGTATTCGATTATCGTCGTTATTGTCCCTTTTTTCAGTTTCTTTACTCGAGAGCTTACGAACGCAAGGAAATCTGCGGGAGAGCTCGACGCGTGCACGGTTGTCGGCCGGGATTTACTGTCTCTATGAGCTGGAATAACGCCGGTCGAGGGTTCCGTGTATCGAGATCTTTTTAACGAGTTGGAGGTATCTCGATCCTCGGGGAATATGAATTTGGGAGACGCACGGCGGGTGTAAAGCTTGCGGAGACGCGAGTGCGCGCGAATCCAAGATGGCGGCGGCCGGACGCGAGCCGCGCTTCGCCGGCGAAACCGCATCTCGGCAGTTTGTCGGCTTTTTTCTTAAACGTTTGTGATCTCCCTTGGGAAGAAAAGGGAAAGGGTGCTTCATTTACGCGGAGCGACGGTTTCGAGGGTGGACGGTAATCGATGGGAAACGGAGTTGACTCGCCCAGGCGGTAAAAGAAACATGGCGGCGTACCGTATTGCGAGGTTCGAGAAGGGTTTTTGTTTTTGCGCTGGCCGTACGTGATCCAGGAAAAAAGGTTGGAGGTTCCTTCTTGCGTGGTTTTCGATAGGAAGGGTGCTGCAATTTTGTGGAGGGTTAACGTTGAGTGGTTTCACGGGAGGAACCATTATTTTGCAGAGCCTCGATTCCCGGCTTGACGCCCCGGATTCCAAAATGGCGGCCGACTCTTGTATCAGGCGCGGTGCGTGTTCGCACGTACCTTGTAAAATCGCCGTACATATATACGTGCTGAGTAATCCTAGACTACTCCTTGCTTATTTCACGAGGGAGACTTCGCATTTTACCTCGTCCAGCCGCCTCCTTTTACTTTGTTTTCCAGGCCTCTCCTCGCGTCCTCGCACCCTCTTAAGTTTCTCCCCGTTAAAAAAGAAAAGAACGTTAACTTAGGGACTCCTTTTTTGTGACTCGTCGCGGTAGAAACCCCGAGTACTCGAAACACCTCATCTAACGTCGGAGGATAATTGACGTGTATGAGAAACGATCGAACGATTAATTTAAGTGATTATATCTATCCGACTAGACGAAGTCTGAACTTTCGAGACAACCGGAGGGCCAGCGGAAATGAATTCCGGCAGATTGGAAATTACTACGAGAACCGAGAACACCGCCTTAAAACATAAGTCCAACACTTGCGGCGCGTCATGGAGACTCTCTTCTGTTGAGGGTCCTGTACAAAGCTTAGGTTTCGGTACGGCAGATTATTATACTGGATGCTACTTAAGCGCTAACACGTCCATTAGAGTTAAGTCAGGAGTTCGGCTAAGAAGCTGTGGACATAGGAGGGGTTTGGCTTTTTTCCCTTTCAGGACGATAATTGCGACAACTATCGGTACTCGGGGAGGTTAAGGACTCGAATCGAATTTTTATAAACCGAGAAAAAAAGTAAAGGGTTTGCTGGATAATTAGTCTTATCGAAACCACCAAATTTTCACCAGTGGCCATATTCGGATGCTTAGCGCTGTCAGTATTTAAACGAAGTGGGAAAATAAAAGAGATTAACGAGGCTCACATTAGAACGAGTGGCCCCGAGATCGTCTTCCTTGAGAGTCGATTTCTAATCCTTTTGTTTTTCAATTTTTGCCGTAGGAAGTTTATTTCCTAGACGCCCCGTACATTTTTCTGGGTGGATGACGCGAGGCTCTTGGAGCTAAGGTGAAACGCCTTGCATGTCGCAGGACGCAGTAAATCGAAGGAAAAACGCTGCTAGCGAAAGTACCGAGGACAAAAATTGAATTTGCCATATATCGGCACTGGATTTTGGCTTATTTCGAAGTTTTTTTTACCTATTTGAAAGAGGACTGTCGGTCGCGTCGGGGTCCGAGATCACGAAACCAAGATGGCCGCCTTGGCGAACATCCAACTCGCGGAAAAATTTCCAGAAAATTCTAACAGAGTATTTTCGTTACTCGGTGCTGCTTATCTTTCTTTTCGAGGTTTCTTCAGTTTTTATTCTTCCCTTTCTGATTGTCCCGAGTAAGTTTCGCTGTAAATTTGGTGCCTTCCAAATTTAGAGATAGAATCGACATAGGCAAATAACGAAACTCGCAGAGATGTAACGTCCAAGAAAAGGGAAGAACAGTGACGCATTCGTGCGAGCACCAAGACGAGTCAAGCAAGAATATCGTACCGGAAATGTAAGATAAAAAGAAAGTACACTGTTCTTTGGCTAACGGCTAAGAGCGAACAATAGGCGCGAGTGGACCCAAGCTAGTATAAATTTAGATTTACATTTAAAACGTAGGGTAAGAACCGAGATCTTCAACGAGTCAAGGTTGTCCACGATATTGGACATTTCATCCGCATAGTCGATATAACTGGGCTTTGTGTCTTTTCCATTCTACTGGTATTTAAATGATAAGGTAAGAATTTTTATTTAAGATTTCCGGGAGTCCCTGCTACCTTCTTGCGATTCCGTGTCGTGTGAAAATAACTCGTGAAAATACTTAGTAATTCATAATTTTACAAGTGTACGCGTGACAGTGAACAATTTAAATAGGAAGATAACGCAAAGAGGACCTTAATCGTAACAATCTTATTAACGATGCGATTTCTACTATTACCGTTAATAATAACTGCCGCAACTATTATAATTACTAGCTCGTAGTTATTCGTGGCATCATCAGTAATTTGTCATCCAGCGAGTGCACTAGCTCGACACAGTAGAAAAATCCTTGCAAGTAAATAAAAATCTTCATATTTTAATATAAAAATACAAAAGAGTACAATCGTAATCTTTCGCGAGCCACTGATTGCATAATTTTATCTTAGACCTGTCTATATTAGTTTGTAGTGATCGAGAAGAGCTGAGTCATGCTTAAAAAAGTACAAGGTTTATAAATGTAGTTTTAAAGGGATTTTGCTCATCCAATGGTTTTCTTTCGTTGACAGTTCAAACATGATCTAGGTTTCCACAGGGAGGCTGCAACAATCCGGAACATCAAGACGAATACCTACTTACAGATAATAAAGATACTGAGAATTGTATAAATGATTTATTACTTATATTAATTGCGTTGCACAATTTTATTCTTTATTACTTACTTTTTATACAGTTTGGGGATTTCTTTGGACAATGAGCACGTTTTTTCTTTTACTTTTTGTAACATCTGGTTCATATCTCGTGCCTGGGGTATATAATTGTTTATAGATCAGAATTAAAAATGTGGTTATGAAGTTTAAAATAAATAATTAAATACTCACAAGACGATTTGCATAGTAATCTCTGAGTAGATGCAGAAAGTCTTCTATTGTCCATGTTAACTCATTCTGTTTATTTAAAGCAATAAATGGACATGTAGGCATATGCTTATGATGCTCGAACCTAAAATTAAAAAATGAAGATGGCGATAATTCTACCGAAATTCATAGAAATTCATTAACGAACAGTGGCTCGTACCAGGGATTGTCATTAGCTTCCCAACCATCGAGTTGTTTAAGGCAAATGAAGCATTCAACGAGATCAGGCTCTTCCTCGCCTCCGATTGCCACAAAACCTGCCGAAGCCATCAGTTCAGGATTACAACCATTTGTCGACGATTTGAAAGGCCAGTGATCGTAAGTTTCCAGTCTTCCGCCCTTCCAGAAAGTATTTTCTATTTGACTGAGAAGATGTGATTACTTTAACCTCTACAATTCAATATTATAGCAATGAAATTTATTTAACCATAGATTTAAATATTACATAAAAACTTACCTGCAAAAGACATTTAAGATTGCGTTAATTTCACTATCAGACATGTTTCTGAAATACTCAAGAGGAACCAAATTGTCATTCACGCACAAAACAGCCACTTTAAAAATATTAACGCCACTTGGCGCTTAAATTTCTGCCACTGATGTTAGATTTCTATAGATGACACAACGCGCCAGATATAACGACCGACATCTGGTCACTATAAAGCCCTTTGTAACTACGTCCACTTAGTGTCCGTTTGTGTTGCAACTTTAAACAGAGAGAAGATGAGAGTAGCCATCAGGGTTGGGTAAGTAAAATAAACCAGGTTATTTACATGGTTCTTTACGGTAAATTACTAGACATTTTACTCTAGTTTCATACGTGTGTAAATTACATGAATATGGGTCTTTGGTTTTCAGGATTTTCTGTTTCTGTTTCTAACGGTCTCTCTGCTATCAGTTGATAGCTGTCCAATGTGTACATACCATATATATCTTAAGAATAAAAAAGTATTTATTAACATGGGGTGATAGAGTAATTAAAGCAACAACTATATATGTTTATACTAAATATGCAATAGTTTCGGTAGAAGGTTGACAGATGGCAGCAGTTTGACATAGCTACATAATTAGAGCATGGATACTCTCTTTATGAAATGGCGTTTTCTGCACATTGACTGGCCGTGCCTGGCATGCATTTCCGTCGTATCTGAAGCCGAACGAGGTTATATTTGACATCGCGGAACTCACAGTCGCAAATATGGCAAAATTCGATTTAACATCCCGCATAGGGCAATACCTCGATCGGCATTTGGTATTTCCACTGTTGGAATTCTTATCTGCGAAAGAGGTATGTAGATTCACAACCCAACGCACGCAGTACGTCAGTGTCAGTTTTTGGTTATGTTAACACTTGTTTCACAGATTTACAATGAAACTGAGCTGTTGCAAGCCAAACTGGATATTCTTAACAAAACTAACATGGTGGATTACGCTGTAGACATTCGAAAGCAACTGTATCCTGATTTGGAAGTGACGGAGGTTGGTAGCAGGTTTTTGTATCTCGATGTTCGAGAGATAATATTACTCTATTTCCCTTTAGGAACTGAAAACACGGCGTGCTGAAGTTGTTCAGGAACTCCGTGGATTAGACAGCAATGTTTCGGTGGTCGTTGCGCTGATGAATAATGAGGAAGTGATGAAAAATATGGAGAAGATGAGGGACCCTAAAGCACTTAACAATTACCTTACACAAGAGTTTAATGTAAGTAAAGACAGATTTAATGTCAGATTCTTCTTTGTACTTGTCTGAAGAATTATACTAAAAAGAAATATAGATATTTAATAATATTTTAATGCTTTCTATAGTTTAAGATAGAGATGATGGATAACTTTGTCAAGCTGGCAAAGTATCGGTATGAGTGCGGCAATTATTCAGTGGCTACCTCATATTTATATTTCTACATGCTTATAATGCCACCCACAGATAAGGTAAATTAAGTTTATATCTCTTCTGAGACGTCTTTAAACTTTTAATAATCATTTTTAACTTTTGCAGAATTACTTAAATGTTCTTTGGGGTAAATTAGCCTCAGAAATTCTTGTCCAAAACTGGGAGACAGCATTAGAAGATGTGAATAAACTGCGGGAATATATCGACAGTAACGTTATTAATAATTCGTTACAAGTATTACAACAACGCACTTGGCTTATCCATTGGAGCTTGTTTGTTTTCTTCAATCATGTGAAAGGCAGAGATCTCATTATTGAGATGTTTTTGTATCGGCCACAGTAGGTTTTTAATTATTCTCTTAATAGTTAACCTAATTTTGATAAATATTTAAAAGTTCTGATTTCATTGCAGTTATTTAAATGCGATTCAAACAATGTGTCCTCATATTCTCCGTTATTTGGCCACAGCTGTTATTGTGAATCGTTCAAGACGATCCACATTAAAGGATCTCGTCAAAGTTATTCAACAGGTAAGAAGCGTCACTTTTATAAATCATTTCCTATCTTCCCATCTGTTATCAATATTGGTGGTAAACAATTGTTTCTGTGTACGAAACAGGAATCATACACATACCGTGACCCAATTACTGAATTCCTGGAACACTTGTATGTGAATTTTGACTTTGATGGTGCACGTCAGAAATTACAGGAATGCCAGACAGTTGTCTTTAATGACTTCTTTTTGATCGCCCTTTTAAATGAATTTGTGGAGAATGCCAGATTGATGATATTTGAAACCTTTTGTAGAATTCATCAGTGCATTAGCATTGGGTACGTATATTACATAAAAAGAGATAGGAGAATAAAATTTAATTTTAGTTTCTTTCATTGATAAAACTTGTTTTAATACAGAATGCTTGCGGAAAAGCTAAATATGAAAGCTCACGTTGCTGAATGCTGGATTGTAAATTTAATACGTAACGCAAGGCTGGATGCTAAGATTGACAGTAAATTGGGACATGTGGTCATGGGTGGGCAACCCGCGTCTCCTTATCAGCAGCTCGTTGAAAAAATCGAAACACTAAGTGTACGAAGCGAAGCATTAGAAAATCTAATCGAAAGGAAGCTGAAAGCTAAAAACCAAGATACGAGTAGTATAGTTTGGAACTAATTTAAAACGGATACGAAATCGTGTAAAGTGCGTCACTCAGAAACGAACATTTGAATATATTACTTATACAAGCCAGTGTCAAAGTTTCTTTCACAGTGTGAACAAACATCGTTAATACGTAATATATTGTCATATAATGGAAAACCAGGTAATAGATGAAGGTACTTCAAATAAACATCTGCACTTTTTATATAAAATTCCTTTTATTTTCGATCAGTCCCATGTAACAATGGGGGAAGTCAAAAAATCATATATTTCGAACAAGACAAGTCACTCTTTTACTTTGGAGATTTCTTCCTTTGTTTCACTTTGAGCATTGTCCAGGTGCGAAGGTGAAAAATTGCAACCTGTGTAAGCACCCCGTTCCCGGCAGTAAATAAGGAGACTTCTCCAGTAGGGATCTCGAGATAGCAAATATGGATTCCCAACAATGACAAGCAACGCCCGCGCTCGAGTTATTGCGACATTCAATCGTTTTGGAGAAGCAACAAAGCCGAGAGAATGCCTGATATCTTGAGTAACAAAGTCCTTTGTTGATCTTACTGTCGAAAGTATGATCACCATCCTCTCTTGGCCCTGGAATTCCTCCACACTACCAACTTTTGGTGCCTCGATGTCTAATTCCAAAAGTAAATCTCGAATGTGCCGAACCTGAAAAGAGATGTACAGGTCATATAATGGTTTTACTTTAATGGTTTAATGGAAAATCGCTAATTTGCAATAGTACTTTAGGTCAAATACTCTCTTAAACATATAATAAGTTTCTACTTGTTTCTTTACCTGTTTTCGATATGATGTAATAATGCCAATATCTTTGGCTTCGATGCCACAGTTGTAGAATTTTAAAAGGTACAAATACACCTGGCTAGCTTCTTCCGGGTTGTACCAACTTGGTGTATCGATATCCTGATGATTTTCCCCGTCTACTCCATGGAACACCACGGCAGGAGGTGTGTCAAGTCTCTGTGGGATCTCGGAAGACAGTAACCTCAAAACTTCTGCTTCGTTACTTTTCTCAGGGGACACCTGAAGGCATCATAGTGTTATTTATTGTAATCATTTTGTAGACGATTACTCGACTTAATAAGAACAGAAATAAGTTTGCATAAGTAATATTACAGCGAATCAGAAATAAAATACCTGCGATCGTAGCTCAGAATCATAAAACAGAGAATTGGGTATCTGTAGAATCTCAGGTAGACTTCGATAGTTCAGTAATAGCTTTGTAACGAGCCTTGGATCATAGCCTGTATCGAAACCTTCCGTGTCTCTTTGATATGGGAACCGATGCAGCAGTCGCACTAGGAAAGACTCTCCAAGGCCAAAGTGAAGTGCCAATTTACTTTGCACAACCGGTCCAAGTTGCATAGGATCACCAGCAAGAATGACACTTCCATAGTTCGAACGAACAAAACTAAGAGGTATCATAATTTCCGGTTCCGTGGCTTGCCCAGCTTCGTCAACAAGAATGTGAGAAAAATGTCCGCGAGGGAAGCCCATATTATGTAAAATTCCAAGAGCGATGCAAGTGCCAATAGTAATTCGGTGTCGTCCGAGAAGACTGGCTGGGCAAGAGATCTTTGGTCCTCCGTTATACTCCACGTGGTTTGTCTTGCCACGACAGGTCTCAGCAGCCAAGTCACCCGTTGCGCAGTATGGTAAGAGTCTTTCAGGAATCGAGTCATTTTCCAGACAATGATGCGCAATGAGACGTACCTGTGAATAGACAATCGTCCATAATTATTGAAACAAAAATGATAATTGCATATAAATTATCCGTGCGGTAACTTACCATATCACCAGGTTTAAGAGCTCCACAATCCAACAATCTCTCTGCAATTAAATTAGCAGAACTGTTCGAGGGAGTAGCTACAAGCAGACGGCTATCTGGAATGGTAGTTAAGATTTGAAGTATTGTTTCGCATAAAGTAATCGTCTTTCCTGTTCCAGGGGGACCAAATATTACATAGGGCAAAGGACGAGCTAATCCTTTCAATATGTTACGCACAGCCCTCTTCTGATGAAGATTCAACTTTCGGTTAAACCAGACTAGCTTGCGTTTCTTCAGCTGCGAGACGTAAGGGTCCACAACAGACTTGTCAGAATTTTCAAGGTTATTTGTTGGCTTATTTTGAGACATGTCTCTTTTAGTTGAGTTCTGACCAATGATCGTATTTGTGTGGTTGATAGGACGAGTTTCGTTTGCAACACATACTATTGGTTTCTCCAATTTAGGGCGTTCTCTTACGGCAGCATTGAAGAGTCTATCCGCAACTGAGATTCTTGGGGGACTTCGAACAATGCTTTCATTCGATATATCACTTGCAGCTGCTGTCCCTGAACTTGAGCATGAGGAAGAAATAGATTCACTTCTGTTGCGTATCAATTGATTGTTCTTTGGTTCTTCTTCACCAAGTTCTTCAAGATCTAATTGAGGCTCTTGTTCGACAACTCGATTGGGAAATAAGAAATCAGATCCAAGATAGTTTACAGCTGAATTAATTGCCGTATGACAACGGTTTATAGGGGACTGAGAGCATTTAAAAGTTACTTCGCACTCTTCATGGTTGTAGGTGTCATGAAAACTTGCATTAAATTTCAGAAACACTTCTGAACTCTTGATCTTATGAATATAGCCTTCATATTTCAATTTTCCTATTTGTTACATTATTGAAATATTAGTCAATCATAATTTGTACAGCATATTGTGGTGCAAATAGTAAAAAGAAGGAAAACAAACCTCCAGATGAGTCCCACTTAAAGGAGACAATCGCTCGATCTCCAGTTAAAAGAGAAGGTCTTTTCTCTGCCAATCCAGGTACACTTAAAACTAGATATTCTCCACAATGTCTCATTACTGCACTATTTATATCATACTGTTGCATATCCAATGTACGACCAATCTCCTCAAGGTACAAGAGTGCATGAAAGCGATCTTTATAATTACCGAATGATAATGGATTGGAAAGGCAAGGAACTGCATTTTCCACAGAAATTTCACATTCTACTTGAGTTTCCTGATCTCGAAGAGGATTCAAAACGGCATTCCAAAATATCTGCGGAACTTTGAATATACCATTTTTAACAGCCATAAACGCCGGGGGCTTGATAGGGCGTACACCTGGAATGTACATTGATCGATCTTCTTGTCTTTGGTTTGAAAATCTTTGTGCTACTTGATGCCGATTATTCCTGGAACGTTGAAAATTGGTTGTTTTTGCCTGTCCCTTACATCCTTGAGATTGACCCTATGAATTGATAACAATACATGAAAGTAAATAAGTCTTTTCTGAGTAGTGTAGGAATTTTATTTGAATTGCATCTTTTTAACTACGCTTACCTGGGTAAGCGGGACTACAGTCAAAGAACGCCATGTATACATTCCTTGGTCGCTCTCTATGCTATCGCTGACTACTTTGTCACCAACACAAGGAATATAGCCAGGTTCACAAGATGTTTTTCTGAAGAAAATTGTTTTATCAATTGTTCCCTCTCCCATATTCACATTATACTCTGTAATGACTCCAACTGTTAGCTTCGATCTTAAGGGTTGTATAGCATCAACTTCTAGTACCTCTCCACTATAACTGTTAGAATCTGTATCAATCTGTACCAGTGATTCAAGTTGTACCCAATCTCCGACTGCTGGTATAAATTCAGACTTGACTTTATCCAAATTGATAGACACATCGATAGGCTCAAGGTGAACAGTTCTGCCTTCACGCCGCTCTATTCTTCCAATGGTATTTCGTTTCATAATCCCCGTTTTAACGACTGCCACTTGTTCCTCGGCTCTTTCATCGTCCCAGCACTCGTCAACCACATAAAGTATTTTTCGTATCTTCTGTTCTTCATCCTGGTTTCTTTGGAAAGCTAAATAATAAACTTTATCGTCTACATTTATCGTGCTACAAGAAATATTGATTCTCTCGCACATGTATCGACCATCAATGAGAACATAATCATCCGTTACAAGGGAAACTTTTCCCGTTTTATAAAAACAACCTTCTTGTAAACCCGAAGCAACATTCTCTGCAGCAGATGTGGGTTCCTCATACCTGCTTTCAATACGCGCTAGAACCTCATTTATATCAGGTTCAGCATCGGGATTATATCCTAACACATATTTAATGGCATTTGCTACCAGGGAAAACATTGTCACTTAGGTTCTGTTACTGCTATCCAAATACCTACAGGAAAGAAACTTTAGAAGCTTTTTCATAAAAGTAAAAGGCATTTTAAATACTGCAACAGTTATGTTTACTGGTCGATCGACTGATATCTCCATTCGGTTGCCTTCAGATACTCAAGTTCTTTTCGCAACGACAGTACACGTTTCAGGTGCAACTCTTTAATCTGTCGTTTTTGTTGCTTTTGCACGTGTAATTCAGATTTCATAAGATTCAGGATCTTCGACGTTTGGGTTCCACTCGTACTTAATTCTGACTCTTGGGACTGGCTTTGTCTCGCCGACGATAACGTTGTAGGCGATAACGTCGTCGAATTCATAGTTTTATCTTATAACATTCTACCTACAAATACGGTTATTTTCACTTAAATCTAAATCAACAATTATACACTGTAACTATCCGAGAATACACACGTGTGAAGAAATACCTAACTTTTATTTGCGCGTACTTGCCTTACACCATAGATTATAAGGTGATAAGGTGTGCTTACACCTGTCAGCCAATCAGAGAGCGAGCACAGGTCCTATCGTCTTGAAGGGGGGAATTCGAACTTCAACCTTTATTGCTCCATTTTATTGGTTGTCTACAACGGAAAGAATACCAATTAAAACCATGGATTCATAAGAAATGGATGGAGCATAAAGTATGTACAATTTTAAACGAGAGATCTGAATTTCTAGACATAAGAAGAGAGGATGTAACGGCCATCTTCCGTTGCTACGCACACACGCGCAATCTCGTATTCGTGACAGCGGCAATCAAAGTGTGTTTACGGTGTCTTTTTTTTAAATACGATAGAGCACATTCCAAGAGATATGAAATGAAACAATTCTCTTGGACATTTCTTTCCAGAACAGGAAATCGCGAATGTCAGGAACAATTGCCATATACGTAATTTAAATTCTTTTTATATCTGTTTAGAACGCATGAGAACGCGCTAGCAATGAAAGATGGCCGCCACTCGTTCCTTCCCCTTGTCTTAAGCTTCACCTGACAACGATATTTTTCGTCTCTCTTTTCTTAGATCTATGGCTAAACTCGTAACTATATAGACGGCACAAACATGAAACGTGGATTGCAAACCTAGTTTCACCTGAAAGCAATTTCACTATCTAAGAGCTCGGTTTTTTTTATCGATACCTCAAAGAAATTTAATCCAGAGTGAAAACATTACGAAAAGGTAAACCGTATAAAGAAATATCAAAGAGTATCGACGTTATCTCAGTTAAGCGTAAACACATCCAAAATATACGTATACTTTCTACTTTCGCAGGCCATTTTACTCCGAAATAACGAAAACCTCTTTTCCCTCCCACCCGACAATTTCTCCCCGTCATTAACGGCGAATTTTCCAAAAGAAGCAGGCGAGGAGACGTGAAAGTGATCTCGCACGATATGTTAATCTTTCACCGACCCCGATATTGCGTAAGAGAAAGGGCCGTTAACCGCATAGGTGGAGACTCGAGTGCGATAATTTTTTAATAGCCTCAGAATCCGAGGAAGCGCGATCACCGAAATAAGCGAAGAAAAGCGTCGTTTCAGGCGCCAAGATTAACGCTAGGGGCTCGGGGACGAAGAAACGTGTATAAATTCACGGCAACCGATGGGTCCAAATCGATTTCGACTCGCGTTATCTCGGCGCCTGTCTTTTCTTGCCAAGGGCGGAGAGGTCCCCTCGTAGCGACGCCACTGCGTTCGATCGCTCGCGGATAGTCGCGCGGCGATCGGCGGCATTCAGGCAGTAGCCGTTGAGCCATTCGGATCGCTCACGCTTCGTGTCACTGCGAGTCTACGTACGAATACGAAATAAAAGCGTTAAGGACGTTTCGAAGCTCGTCAGATCGACCCCTCTCGTCGCAGGTGAGGACTCGTCCATGTTTCGTGGCCGTAAGGTTAACGTCTTCCCGGATTCACGTGTGCTCTTCGTTCAGGTTTTCCAGGCGACCACGAGCGACACCCCGAGGCGCTCGCGCTCGCCCTACCAGTCCGCTCCGAGCAGCCCTCGACGCTCGATCCAATTTTCACGCTAAAAGGCGGCCGTCCAGCAGGGCGTTACCATTTTATATGACTTTTCTTCGACGACGAGGTGAGTCCGCCCGGGGGAGGCTAGCAACTCGCGCGGCCATGTTGGCGCCTCGTCGCCACTCGAAGCGTCGAGGTGCCCGAGCTAATTTTAGCGACCAGCCATTTTGGTCGTGGAGCGCGTCGCGGAATTCCGCCGCCGAGAAATTTGTGGAACGGGTCAGCTTTCCGAAGCATCGGCCTCTGATTTCGAGAATCTTATCGTGGGCTTCGAAATGACACGCCATTTTTAAATGGCTCCGGCCGACGACGCAGTTCTCGCTAGAGGGTCTTGATCCGGAAACACGAGTCGTTTTGTAGGTTAACTACTTCACGCGGTCGGCTGAATCCTGGTTTCTGCCTTCGTCCTAGCCCTAATTTAAGCCTGACTTAATTGTTACAGCGAAAAGAATCATGGGGAGCGTTTATGCCTTCGTCATTGTAACCCTAGTCTGAGGTCCTAATCCTTAAAATTTCCCAATTTTGGATTTAATGTATCCTGAAATTTGAGAAACAGGCGCATGCGCCTCGTATGCAAAAGAGCGTGATTTAAATGTGCTCATAACTAAGAGTTGAGAGCTCATGAATAAGAGTTAGAATTTGAACACAAACTGTTTCAGGATAATATGATAGGGGAAAAGGTAAATGAAGGTTAGAATGGAAGGCTTAACATAAACACAGTTTAGCTTTGGTACAACTTCGATGTCATTTAAATACAACTCTAGTTTATCTTTAGTTTTGGTAGAAGTTTAAGATCGAGCGGAAGTTGCGAACCTGGACACAGGGCAGGTGTTGGCTGCTCTACGTTGACTTAACGTGTTATGGATTCACTCATCGTCGACATTATATGGATTTTCAATGCTTTGTTAACCAAGGATGTATCGATATGTTTTTTGAACTCTGTCAATCCAAGAATGTATTCAAACATGTTTGCAGAGAGAAAAGAAGGCAGTCACAGGTGTTCGCTTCTGCACACGTTATCCTCACACATCCTGTGTTTGGAAATAGGTCTTTTTTGCACAGAGACTTTTGGGAGACTTGAACGCAATTGGAAGTTTTTTTTCCATTCTATCCTTGGTACACGATTTGCAATAGTTTTTGTGTTTATCGACTCGAAGCAAAGTGAGATGGCCTTATTTGACCCATAAACCATACATGTGGACATATACGATAACGACAAGAAATAAATATTAACTCCCATGATAATAGGATTCCAGAAGCTCTGGATGATATCTCGACGATAGATCGATAGCCAGGAAAATCATTTTCATCGCATCTAAATCACCCCCATTGCTGTATTAGATTTTCTCTCAAAGTGTGCTTAAATACACAAGGATAAATTTATTTATAAATTGACAATTTACAAACGTCTTGATTAATACAAATTTATACGAATCGTACATTTCTAAATAGACAGTTAATATCAGAAGTTTAATATTTGCAATGTACTCGTTATATCGGTTTTATCTTGGCTAGAAAAAAAAAAAAAAATTGGGTTATGGAGAGTTAAGAAGTGATTTCCACATCGGAGAAGTTCAAAATCATTTCCTGCTTGAGAACCACCGTGGTAAGCGGATGTTACATTGCGTAAGATATTAATTACACGAGCAACGTAATCCTCGATAAAGCTCGCGAAACGATATCGTACACATCGGGGACAAGTTCGAGGAAAAGGATGCAAACCGCAATCGCGTCGACCGTTTGCCGAATCCGAGCCGGTAAAAAAAGAGAGGGAAGGCTTCGTAACGCCTGCGGAGCAGCGATTATCGAGACGGGGGAGCGATTTGCTCGTGTTTTTAAAAACAATATCGCGTTTCATAGTGCGCCTCTGAGAAACAAGTGCGCCAGTAAGGCCGGGGTCCCACTGAGTGCGTCGAGTGGCTCACAGAGCGCGGCGCGTCAGGGCGTCCAGCGTTACGCGGAGCACAGCGCGTCGCGTGTCACATAAGACGCGGCGCGACAACGCGTAGGGTGTTGCGTAGAGCACAGCGCGGCGAGTGTCACACAGCGCGGCGCGACAACGCGTCGGGGATGAAAAATCAATCAGAGCCGCACTTAACCTCGTGCGGCCATTGATACGTATAATATTAACTGCTGCATATCAGTCGTACTAACAATGTTTGTCGGATCGGTGTCGGTACGCGTTGGTACCGATACTTGTCGGATAGTCTGAAACGACCTTAATTGGTGTATCGTACAGGGTAGCCTTTCAAAAGCTTGGAGTAAAACTCGAAACCTTGGAGGACTCGGTCGGCCTGCTTGAACTTTACATTTCGTAATATTTTCCGCGGATCCGTTATCGCGATACGTGTTATCTTCGGTAATGACGACGCCAAGACCTCCGGGGAAAATTTCCATTTCTCGGAACCCGGGGAAGTTCTATACTCGGCGCTCGACGAGGATGAGAAACGAAAATATCTGGCTAATCGTTGCGGCGATTACGCGGCAATACCGAATTTAAATTCGGGATTCACGGACAAGGAATTAATTGGCCGAGAATCGCGTAAGGTCGTGCGACATGGGGAATGGTATTTTTCAGTTAAATGACAAACGTGTCGATTTTGAGTAACAGGAAGTATTACCCGTGGGTTGATACGGCGCGGTGATTACTTTTCGTTATCGGCTGTAATATATCCAAGTGCTCTGGCAGCTTATACAGGGTGTCGGATAGCCTCTCCACCTCTGTTAAATGGAGAGATTGGTTTAATTGAAAATCCAGAAAAATTGTAACAAGTGAATCGGGTATGCTCCATCGAATGGTGATCATTCCAACTTCCGGTAATAAGTGGTAGTGGGATATCCATACCGGAAGTTCGAGTTTTTCAAACGTTGCATGGTTGTTTTATCGCAGTTTCAGGTGTACGCGAAAAAGTAAGACAGTTTTGTCTTGAAGACTCTTCTCTTTTTTATTCTTTGAAAATGTCGCCATCAGGCTTGAAACGATCTTAAAAGTAATTCATAAATAGGATAGCCAGCAAATGATCCATTCTAATTAGAAGCCGTATTTCTTAATACATTTTCTTTATTGCGTTCGCGCGTAATTTTATTTTGCAATTAAAAATAATCATATTTCAAACATTTTACTTATAATTCGAATGGATAATTTTCTGGCTAACCGTCCTATTCATGTACTACACATTCCAAATCATTTCAGGTTTGATGGAGACATTAAAAAAAAAAGAGAGAACTTTGAAACAAAATTTTCTCGTTTTTTTGACGTGGAATGTAAAACCGACGAAAATTACCATGTACCGTTAGAAAAACTCGACTTCCGACGTCGATATCCTATTTCCGTTTATTACCGTAAGTTGAAAATATCAATCGATATAACTTGGCAAGGGTGGGCGAATTATCAGAGACACCTTGTATAGCGATTCGCGTGTGGAATTTCAGTTTCGCTCGCGCGATAAGAGCTCGAAAAACGTCACGAAACTGGCGAATTTATCGTGTCGCGTTTATCGAGCAGTGCACGGCTAATCAAGGCTTGCATTCGTAATCTCATTTATTTAATTGCTTTTTCTCTACCTTTTGCAATTTAACCCTGGAAATATTACTCAGTCGAGAACTCAAGAGCTCGCGACATCGAGTCGTCGATTTATCGAATGAATTTCTTTTCTAGAGCCAGGACTTTTCAACGGGTTCTCGACCTCGATCTGAGAAAACGTCTCCAGTTTAGCAGTTCAGCTCTTTTTTTTTTTTCCTTTCCGCGATTCCTTTGAACGCACACCGGGAGAAATGATATTCAACGGCTTAAGCCTCGTCCACATTGATTCCTGGCAGGGGCATGCCAGCGAAACTTTGCCTTGAACTTTAAATTGCCGTCCGTTTCTTCTGGTCCGCGGTTGCATCGGAAATGCAGCGTTTCTCCTTGACCTATCCTACGGACAGGATTTCCGCATTGCATGCGGCCGAAAACCCGATATATAATGTCATTTTGCACCTGCCGGTTGGATTCTGATTTTGGTTCGGCTATTTTGATCGATCGCCTCCAAGCGTTTCCGACCTTTAACCGATACTTCGATTAGGAATAAATCCGATTTGATGGACCTCTGTCGGAACTTCATGTTTATGAGACCTAAAGGGCCGGTTGCACCTACCATGATTGGCGTAAAGTTTCTTAAAATGATTAGTTACGTCGAAAAAAAAAATTTAGCTAACCGAGGATTAAAATCCGCTGTTAGGTAACTACCCGAAATAGGGCGATTAACTCTAATCGCTCGTTAAGTCATCTTTGATTAAGGATTTTTACTTCAATGTCGGTGCAACTCGGGCATGTACTCATGTCTCGCATAAAAACCTCGAATAACAGTGGCCGTAAGCATAACAAGCAAGAATTGACCAATCAAATTGTCAAACATTGACGGCATATTAAATTTTCTGCAATTCGATCGACCGAGATTGATTGCCTCGAGATTCTTTGACCAGGATTAATCTCGGATTAGGGAGACTCGCGTTGCACCGGAAAAAATGAGACTAACGGAAGATTAAATTCCGCTATTAGGTAACTACCCGAAATGGAGCAATTAACTTTAATCGCTCGTTAAGTCATCCTTGATTAAGGATTTTTACTTTAATGTCGGTGCAACTCGGGCATGTACTCATGCCTCGCATAAAAACTTCGAATAACAGTGGCCGTAAGCATAACAAGCAAGAATTGACCAATCAAATTGTCAAACATCGAAGGGATATTAAATTTTCTGCAATTCGATCGACCGAGATTGTCCCGAGATCTTTTGACCAGGATTAATCTCAGATTAGCGAGATTCGCGTTGCATCGGAAAAAGATATACTAACCGAAGATTATAAACTACTGTTAGGTAACCACCCGAAATTGAGCGATTTACTCCAATCACGCTACCCTTGATCAGGGATCGCTTAACGCGTTATTCGGGATAAACTCTCGATTTCTGGTAGTTATCTGACGGCGAATTTAAATGTTCACTATATCCTAATCTATCTAGTTGCAATACGAAGTACACTAATCCGAGATTAACTAACTCTACTTAAGGAATCCCTTGAAGTTACCAAAACGATTCAGCCTCTTCACCGAAGCAAACGAGCTCGGTTGAGTGAACTAGCCGAGGGATTCACTTGAAAACCGGTGAAAACGATTTCTTTCTTTAAGAACCGATTGTCATTGATTTCATACGATTCGGTTTCATCCGACGCAAGTGATGGTTCGGCCTTAAAATCGTGACATTGCCTCGATGATTTCCACCGATTTCCAGGCGATATTTCTCGCATTAAAATCCACGATTTCCCGAGTGAATAACCTTCGGTTCATTCGACCTACTAATTTATTTTCCGAGGCGAGGGGTTATTCGCTGAGAAATCAGTGAAAACGATTTCCTTCATTGAGTGCCGATTGCCTTTCATACGATAATATAACATAATTTCACACGATAAATGACAACGCGATTCGGTAATGAGTGAGGGTTCGAGCCTTAAAATCGTGACAACGTTTCGGTCGTTTCCACCGATTTCCAGGTGACATTTTTTGCATATTAAAGTCCACGATTTTCCGAGTGAATAACCTTCGGTTCCCTCGACCTGATTTATTTTTCGAGGTGAACGAGATATGCGGTCGGTTTCGCGCAGATTTCATAATTACAGATATGAAATGAATTTTCTGCGAGCCCTAACCGTCTTCCAGCCGGTTCCACGTGGAGGTTGGCTTCCCTGACCTACCGCAGGCACTTTCCGGGCCGGCTGGGAAGATCCTGAGAAACGAGGAAAATCGGGTGAAAATCTGACCTTGGCCACGCGGGGGGCCTGGCCAGGACCCGCGCTTCCCGATCGGCGGCCCCCTAACCCGATCAATACCAGGGCGGCCCGCCGAGTGTGCACGTATATATAGCGCCCCGTACACCCCGTGTACACGGGGGCGCGCATGCGCGCATGCGCGGCACCCACCCCGGAGGACACGACCATTGGCCGGCCGCGCCGACCCGGGACAGTTCCTCGTTACTCGCTCGCCTCCTCGCAACGGGCCCTCGCCGCCCTCGCCACGGTCTCGACCGATTCGCCAAAGAGCCACCCCGAGAGGGACACAGGAGCCGAGCCTCTTCTACGCACTCTAGGACGAGCCGGACCGGGGCCAACCACCTTCGGACACACCGCGACTTATGCGTCTACGCCGAGGAGGTAACGCCCCGGTCGTGTCGTTCCCGTTTCCCCGGTCCCCCGGTCCCCCGGTCCCCCGGGGGTCGATACCGCCCCAGGACCCCGAACACGGGGTCGGCCAGTGCCCTTGGATTTTGTTTATTTATTTTCCTTACGCCCTTTTTAGTTGAGTTTTTGGATCTCGAAGGATCTCGAAGTGGGTCCGGTGCACCGCATCGGGGTTCCCATCTCCCGATGATCCCCCTGGAGGAACGGTCAGGATCGATCGGTCCTGCGAGGTTCTCGTTGCATCCTCGATTTTATATCTTGAAGGGAGACCGGGAGGACCCTGGGATCTTAATCTTGGGAGATGGTTCTTGACTCGTAGCGGATGATCCGGAGACCCCGGGGATCTTTATGGGGTAAAGGGGTCGGGCCTTCCATGAGATGGTCCCGGATGCCAGGGGTCGATACCTTGCGAACTCCTGATCACGCTTAAGGGGGTTTTGCGGGCTCGAGGCCCACTAATCCTGAGGTCTTTTTCGGATTCAATTATTGTTCGAAGGGGACAAACGAAATATTGTTATCTCTCGTACGTCGTTACTGTAGAGATAATAAAATTTCAGACAAATATCTTTCGGGGTTTGGGGTTGCGGTGGGTCCTTGGAGAACCGGAGCGCATCACACGGTGTACGTGGTTTCGACGGAATTTATTGTTAGCAACGAATGCCGTTAAACATTAGTGATATGTCCTCTCGTGTCCGCATTGTGGGACTCGACGAACATGTTTCAATGAAAATTTATAGATTTACGGGTAAAAATGTGGGGCGAGTCGAATTTTCTACCAAAAGTCTGTCTTTGTCATTTAATAAAGTGGATTGTTTGTCCAACATTAATGCACGAGTTCCATATTGTAGATACAGATTCACGTGTCGCATATGTTTAATGGCATTTATTTCTAACAAATAGTTTAGTCGAAATCCTGTGCGTGTTAAAACTCGGTATGGTGCCATTTCTCTAACGGTTTAATATAACTGTAAACTGGTGAATTTTCGTTTTTTTTTTCCTTTAATAGTCTTTATAGTAAATTCCATAAAAATAGGGCAAATAGAAGTATTGCGTCCCTTTGTCTTATAATTTAATTCGAGGGAGGCATTAAGCATTGACCGCGTTAAACCCATGTATCCCCTTAATCGCGGACACGATTACCCATGGTGAACACCTTGGCGGAGCCCGAGGGAGGAACGAGGAACACAGGTCGATATCTTTCGACCCCCTTGGAGACGTTTAATCGTGCTTGTCCGTCGATAACGCTTTGCCCGGTCTCTGGGGCGAGGAGGAACGCAAAATGCAGGGCGCGGAGATGCACTCGAGGAAGGCTCTTTTTAAGCCCAGAGGAATCCTGGTCGCGTGATGACCCCTCGTTGGACCAGGTGCCAATCGGTACTTGGCACCGATGCTCGCGTCAATATTGATCGCCCCCGGGATATCGGAACTTTATTTCGAAGAATCAGCCCCTCCTGGAGAGCGAAGTGATGCGACTATTACGCGTTGAAGTTTCAGATGATTCGGTGTAGCCAGCTTGGAGAACAGTTTTATAACTATTTTGACGTTTTAGGTGTATGGAGTGACCCTTTCGTATCACCTTAAGGGATCCTCCCGTGGCAATTGTTACGGGGCCTAGTAGCTCTCGCTCGTCCTCTCCCCGTGTTTTGTCCGCGGTTCCTCGCCGGACACCTTCTTCGGACGTAAAGTAACGCTAACCAAATTCTTCCCGGCTATCATGGTTTTCGAGTCGGCGAGTTCGCGCGAAAACCACCTCGACGATCCCTGGAGAGGCCAGGGGCCCTTCTGAAATCCTGGAATCGGCGACGTCGCGTCTTCCCCTCCATTTTCTTCTTCTTTACTTTTCCTCTTCCGGGAGCCCGTCAGCAAGCAAAAACCCGCAAATGAAAGAGTCGGAGGTCCCTGTCCGAGGGCGGCGATAAGGAGTCACCCCGATGGTCCGACCTGCGCCCTTTTGAACCGATCCAAGCCCCGATGAGACGGAACTTCTCGTCCTTCTTCTCGCTTTTCGCCCTTCGATTGCGAATGCCCGCGAAATGGGCCCGGGATGTCTCGTCGCGATGTCGCACGACCTCGAGTGTTGACTCTGGGGGAGAATGAAGAGATATGGCGAGACCAGGGAGGTAGAAATGTGGACGACGAGTTCCAGGTTCGGTTCTTCGCCAACCTTCCCTGATAAGGCTCCTCCTTTCCTCGATTTCTCCAACGTTAATGGCCCTTTAACCCTCTATGGGCCCGTGTAACTTTCAGGTCACATTTTAAATGAAAAATGTTTTTTTCATTTGCATATATAGGTTCCTAATTGGTGATTTTTCGTTCCCCCAATTTTTTTTTATTTAAAACTAAAATTCGGCCCATAGAGGGTTAACACGTTCCCTACCACGTGGGGCGTATGCGCCCCACGCTGAACTTTCCGTTCAAGCCATTTGGTATTATCATTGTAAAGCGAAGAATTTTTTAAAAATTCATTATGCAGTCAATTATGGGCATCTTAATGCTATTAGTGATACGCTCATTTGATCGTGGCATGTTGGAAAGTCTTCAAAAAACGGTCTGGCAGGGAACGTGTTAAATGCGAGGTAACACCCTTTGCTTCCACTTCTTCTGGGGGAAGGAGTGCTCCGGAACGAAGGAGACGGTTTCGAGGAATTTTTGGGTCACGGGCGTGCAAGCGTGCGTTAAGTTTAATAACATTTCCGGAATTAAAGGCCGGTGTTGCGACATTACCAGCTGGATGAGTCAATGGAAAGCTATGCAGTCGCTTGCATCGGTGCAAACCTGCGCGATCTGCTCGCACTTGGTCCCTCGATTAATGGGGGATTAATTCGTTAATTATTCCATTAATAATTGCCCGGACGAGTGTCCACTCGAGGAGAAGAAAAAGATCGAGGTAAAACGATGACTCGTGGGTCGCTTCGATGTTGGTCGATCTTATAGAAATGTCGTCTTCTTCTCTCGTCCGGTATTTTTCTTTTTTCTTTTTATTTTTTTTTTTTCAATGATGGCGCTGGTCTTAAGAATAGACTCCTGGGGGTGTCGAGAGACGGGAGAGAGTCTCATTCGGTGTTTTTGCATTTTCAGAAACATTCAGGATATCACCCAGAGGGAAAGAATTGGCGTGCAGCAAAGGCGGTGGCGGCCGGACATTGTCCAAGCATCCGACGAACGGCAGCATCATCTCCTTCGCGAGGTCGAGGCGCTTCTTACGCTTAAACGAGGGGTCGACGTCGCCGACGTGGAACCCGGATTTTCTTCAGGGCACGAGAAACGGACAGGCAGCGTGTATGATCATTGAGGACCGACCCCCTTTGTCCACCAGGTCGAGACAAAACCTGCATCAAGATAGCACCCAACGATTTCTGAACCACCTGGTCCTGCCCAAGCACAGGACCTCAAAATTTTCCAGGTCGATAGAGTCACCTAAAGTTCACTTAGCTTCGATTCGTTTCAAAGTTTACAACGTGGGTATAGAGGCGCATGAAAATTCAATTTTTTTTTTAAATTTAATTTGACTATAGGCATTTTTATCTTTATAAGAAATGAAATTTCATGGATGTTCACTCATATTCACGTGGTGAAGTTTGAAATGATTCGGTGCACCCAGTTTGAAGAACGGTTTTATAAATATTTTGACGTTTCATTTTGTTAGTTTTCATATGACCTTAAGGTGCAAAAATCGCGAGGATTTTCCGTTGGATTTTCCGAGGAGTTGATTGACGATCGGCGTGTCTCGGTTTTTGCAGTAACAGGCATCGGAAGCTGCAGCCATTCAGGGAAACGTGACTGCCGTCACCGTGTAGCGCGGCGCCCCGAATCGCCACGTACGAGAACAACCACCCTGACTCGACACGTAGAGAGCTACCAGCGGGTAGCGAGCACCGGGCGAGGTCGTCTAGGAGCGACCAAGCTGCCGCTCTCGGGCCACAGGGCCAGGTCTAGAGGAGCGAGATCGAAGACGCTGCCCACCTGAAGAAGCCTCAGAGGAGCGCGCAGGAGGAGTCTCTTCGGGGTCTGTTGGACTCGGACAACGGGACGGCGACCCGACGCGCAGGATCCCTGGAAGAAGCATCGGCGAAAGCCGCCAGGTAGAGACGAAGAAGCCGAAGAAGACGACCACCCGCCAAGATGGGGAGCGTCAACGTGAACCGGAGCGTCAGCGACGCGTTCTATCGGTACAAGATGCCGCGGATCCAGGCGAAGGTCGAGGGCAAGGGGAACGGGATTAAGACGGTGATCGTGAACATGGTCGACGTGGCCAAGGCGATCGGCAGACCGGCGACCTACCCGACCAAGTACTTCGGGTGCGAGCTCGGGGCGCAGACCCAGTTCGACTTCAAGAACGAGCGGTTCATCGTGAACGGCTCGCACGACGCGACCAAGCTCCAGGACCTCCTCGACGGTTTCATCAGGAAGTACGTCCTCTGTCCGAACTGCGAGAACCCGGAGACCGAGCTGATGGTCAGCGCGAAGAAGGGGACTATCTCGCAGGGGTGCAAGGCCTGCGGTCACCATGGCTTGCTCGAGAGCAACCACAAGCTCAACACGTACATCCTGAAGAACCCGCCTAGTCTTAATCCCGCGGCCCAGGGCAGCTCGTTGACCGAGGGCAAACGCGGCAAGCGCTCGAAGAAGGCCAACGGAGACGCCAACGGCGACCGCTCGGGCTCTCCCGAGAACGAGACCACCGGGACCACCACCGACATCGTCGTAGAGCCGCCCGAGAAGACCCCCGGCAAGCGGGAGGGCGCCAAGGACGAGGACGACGACAACTGGGCGGTCGACGTCTCCGAGGAGGCGGTCAGAGCTCGCCTCCAGGACCTCACCGACGGAGCCAAGGGCATGACCATCAGCGACGACCTCGACAAGACCGAGAAGGAGCGCATGGACATCTTCTACAAGCTGGTCAAGTGCCGCAGGGACGCCGGCCAGCTCGACAACCACAAGGAGCTCGTCAGCGAGGCCGAACGCCTCGAGATCAAGACCAAGGCCCCCCTGGTGCTCGCCGAGCTGCTCTTCGACGAGGCCATCGCCATCCAGGCCAAGAAACACCGCGTCCTCCTGCTGCGCTTCACCCACGACGACATCAAGGCACAGAAGTATCTGCTGAGAGGTATCGAACAGGTGATCGCTCTGCACAAAGAGAAACTAATGCCGAAGGTGCCTGGAATTTTAAAAGTAAGAACCCACGGCCCCACTGGCTATTTTATAGAGAGTATTTCGTCTGCGAGGTAGTCCCGGTAACGAGATTATACCCCGTTTTCAGCTTTTCTACGATTATGATATCTTGGAGGAGAAGGCTGTGGTCGAGTGGGCTAGCAAGGTCAGCAAAAAGTACGTGTCTAAAGATTTGTCCCAAGAAATCCATGACAAAGCCGCACCCTTCCTTACGTGGCTGGAGCAAGCCGAGGAGGAGGAGGATTCGGAAGATGACGATTTAGAGGTAAACGCTCACTTTCTTTCATTGTAGTTCTCGACCGATCCTTCTCAGAGAGTCGGTGAAGAATGTAGTTGGCGCGAAACTCTACCAAACTCCCCGATCGGTGTATAATATGGTATGGATCACGGATGACGGGAGTTGTGGCGAGTTTAATGGGAAAACTTGACCGCGGGTGGTTCTCTTCTTGGGGTCTCATCGAGCGAATTACGTAATTTCAGATCGAGTACGATGACAGAGCGAAGCAGCCACTGAAGCAACAGAAGCAACAGCAGCAAACTCCTCAGAAGACCGTCGACAACGACTCCGACGAAGAGGACGACTTCGATATCGATGCCATTTAAAAACGGACGCGGAACGCTCGGTTTAACGTAGATCAGAAAACGGCGAGAACTCGAGATCGGTATCCTGATCGAGAATTATTATCCGCAGGACGCAGAGTCGCAAGCGCAATGTCCAGTTCTAATTCCCAGACTTTTCCTACATTTAGTGAGAGAGCCGTTTGGAGGATCCAACTCGCCGCGCCACTTAGACTTGCGAAATTTTTATCGATTTCCATATTTAGCCTGCCATGTCTCTACGATTACGTTTTTAATTATTCTTCTTGCACCCTCTTTACCCCTCTCTCTCTCTCTCTCTCTCCCTTCATGTATTTCTCAAGTTTTCTTTTTTTTACCAATGCAATTACGAACGATTAATGCAGTTACCTCTTGCGGTTATTATTGAAACATTGAATGATTCCTTGAGACCCCTCAGCCGTCCCCTCGTGCACCTCCTTCGCGTAACGATCGGTCATTGGTCGAGAGTTACTAAGAAGTTTGCCTGCTAAAAGCGTTCTCTATTATATCTATTTACTATTCTGATGATTGATTATTCAAATAAACATGGTTTATTGCATTATTCTTGGGAGTTCCTGACTTGGAGTTGCAATATAATTTCAATATTCTATCCATATAAAAGTGGACCGCACTTGGTAGGATAAATGTAAATATCCTTTTAATCAGGGTTGAGTAACTTTACGTTTTTTGAAGTTTCGACGTATATATTACATAACCCACGTAGTTTACCGTAGAAGATTGTGGAAAACCAATAAATGACGTGTCCAATATGAAGGTTGCCGCAGATGTGCGATGTACGGCATCCGCTAGGTTATAAACGTCTTTTAGCGCATGTGTAAACACGTAAAGATTTTAAAGGAATAATTAATTTAGCGCTTGTGTTCTAAACTCTTTCGACTTCACCCAGTTAAATATAATATTTTTAACATTATTTATTAATTTCTATTTAGAATTAGAAGGGTACAAATACTTCGTGGTCCCGTAGAAAATTAGGAACGTATATGTTGCCATATACACGTAGAAAACCACGTATATATAGTATTATACCTACCCAACCCTGTAACAGAGAGGGAGAGGGTTACCAGAGATGAGTTGGAGCATGACGTAAGAATATATGTACGGAACTCAAGCCAGAGGTGTGAGTGCAGAGTAAGTAGGGGGAACACGTATGAATAATGGTAAGGTAGTGTGAGTGGGTCCGAAATCTTAGCCTCCTGATTGGCTGAGATTTGGTTGCATCTAATTGACGATCGAGCGATCAGGATCGATTTGCATTAACTATTAATGCGATAGAGACATGAGATTTACTGGATCCGGATTCGATAAATCCCGGACTGAGGAGTACGGTGGAAACGTGGTTAATGTTCGATCGGTATTTCATGAGCGCTACAGCAAAGCGCGAATAAAAGGTTTTGATTGACTGCAGAGAACGTACGGCGGAAGTTTTCCCATTCTACTTTTCTCTGCAGCGAATCAGAACCTCTTATTCGCATCTCGTTGCTACGGTGCTTCGCACTGTAGCGGTAATGAAATATCGGCTTAATATTAGACGCGCACAATGGGACTCCGGTCCAACGGAAATAGACTTACCATCGTTCAATATGGCTTCCCATTTATTGCCGTGGTTCTGACATTTGGAATTGAAAACGATCGTGATGTAGATACGATATACGAGGATTTTTTTCGAGATTTCAGCCAATTCCGGAAAAGCACCGGTGTATCTGTTTATTTTTCTTTAGATATTCTGGGAGAATATCTACGTATTCTAGATAGTACCGATGGGTTCCAGCGGGTCGTGAAAATATGTATTCATTACTTGACGCCTGTTACTGACTTGGCCCAATTTTAATTCATGTTTTTAACCCGAGTATAATCAATTTTTTACGGGAATAAGGTCGATATAAAATGGATCCCCGAATTCATAGGAGGTCAGAGCCGGAAAAAGAATCTGGTGATTTGGTTAGTGGTATAACCTCACTTTTTTTTTTTATAATACTGCTGTATATCATTGAGATCTTCAGAAATATAAAGCAGTTAAACGTACTCTTGGACATGTGTTTTTGGGGTGATCGATATATTCCTTAGTGCAAAGGATTCACATTAACTTTTATGAATTTCAGATTATAGAATGGCTAAACGAAGCCTCTATGAGCACTACCGAGGTGACGAAGGTTGCGAATTTAGCTAAGGCTCAAGAAGTTCTTGTAAATAAAGAACCGCATTTGCTTAATTTATACTTGGATGAGGTATTGCAGTTTGCTTGTGATAGGAATGCCGAGGTGCGAAAGACCATAGCGGGATTTATCGATGATACTGGGTAATAAACCTGAATTTTAATACGTTCTGAAAATGTTTAATACCGAATGGATTAACGGTACCTTAAAGGCTGCTTTACAGCCATTTACTCAATTATTTAGTCGTGGAATGTGGTAATGCTCTGTAAAAATATAATATGTTGGTTTTCAGAGTAAAACATCCAGATGTTATTCCTTGCATGGTACATGTTTTATCGAGGCTAGTTTCTGATGATGCATCTGCAGTTTCGAAGCGAGCTCTAAGGGCAAGCAGTCGAATTCTCAGAGCTGCTTTGAAATGGATAGCAAGCGCCTCTTTAGTGACACCTGAAATGGAAATGGCATGGACGCAGCTTAGTATGCTCAAGGTTCAAATTATAAATATGATTGACAGTGACAATGATGGGTAAGTTTACTCAATTCAATGAACAAGCACTGTTCAGTATCTGATGCTTTTGTTTAATTTTTATTAATGTAGGATCAGGACGCAAGCGGTGAAGTTCTTAGAAGGCGTTGTTCTAATACAGACGTACCCTGATCCTGATGCTCCAAAGAAACCTGATGATTTTTCTTTGGAAGATGTGCCGTTGACTCTCAAAATTGCTCGTAGACGAAAATTGGAAGAGGAAGCTAATCATGTAATGGAATTGTTAATTAAATTTCACGGTTCTCCACATGTCAGTAGCGTAAATCTGATGACGTGCATGGGATCGCTGGCGCTTATCGCTAAAACGCGCCCTCAATTTATGCCAGGAGTAATTCAAGGTACCATGAACCAAAAACATATATAATTTGCAACTCCTTATAAGTCCTCGAAATCTAATAAATTTATTCAACAGCTTTGCAGAGGCTTCAACATGATCTACCACCGACACTTTCTGACTCTCAAGTAACAAGTGTTCAGAAACAACTGAAGCTTACTCTACTTGGCTTGATGAAACATCCTGCAAGCTTGGAGTTTGCTTCATCGATAGCCCGACAGTTGAGCCAGCTTGGAGCAAAGGAACAAGAGATTGTCAAGGCATACCCAAAACCAGAAGATATTCGCCGAATGAAGAAAAGGCAACAGGTAGCGATCGATTAATTTTATCTGAGAACTATTAAATAAATTTGAATGTTTATTGTCAGTTTTATTTTTTACTCTTTCAGGAAACTGCAGCGGCTAATGCTGCGAAACGAGCGAAATTGGAGGCAATTCCTATTCTTCCTGAAGAACCCGAGCCTCCAGTAGTTCCTGTGCAGCCTCCAAAACCTCCAGAACTAATCGAGCTCCCGGAGAGTTATATTGCAGAAAGATTAAGTGTAGAAATTGCAACAGATCTTGTTATGGACAGTATGGTAAGATTTAGAATTATGACAAGGAAAGAGTTTCGACATTATTTTTACTTTTGAGTTATTTTTTTTTTACTTGAAAATTTGTATTCATAAGGCATGGGTACCAGATACAATGACTGCAATCTTCCAACGAGACTATCAACCAAGTGCTACGACAGATATAACTATTCAGCGACAAACCATTGCTAAACTGTTAGCGAATCAAATCAAGCAAGCAAAAGCGAAGAAAACCAAGAAAGATGCAAAGGATGAGGAAGCTGTCATGGAAGATTTGATTAAAAATCCAACGATAAGCGTGGCTGAAGCAAAGAGGGAACGGAAGCGGGAGAAAGACAGGGAAAAGGAGAAGGAAGCAAGGGCAACGCTTGAGGCTGAGAAATCGCTTGCGAAAGCTAGAAATAGATTAAAATCCTTAAAGTTGTCAGAAGTTACGAAGCCTCTTTCAAAGGAGATGAAAGAGAAGATGCTATTAATGGCGGTGAACAGAATCCTTTTTGCAGAAAAGGTTGCGATCCTTGGTGGCGTAGCTCCTGTCAGGTATTCCCTCCTTTTATATTTATAAACTTAATTCATTTAGTGATTTCTTGATTTTAACGAAATCATCAACAGGTCCAAAATTTTAACAACTCTGGCTGCAACCTTTAATCCATATATCAAAGAGTCTGTTCTTCGTTACATTACGGATGACATGCGTACTCGATTGGACCTGGCGTTGGGGTGGCTTTACGAGGAGTATGCATTACTTCAGGGTTTTCAGAGGAGAACTACTTTGTGTACGAAACCTCAGGAAGCTCCACACCAAGCGTATAATTTTTTACTTTGCACTTTAGTGTCCGCAATCGATTTAATCCAGGGCAAAGATAGAGATACGTTACTTTCAAGGTGCTTATCTTGTAAGACACTTGCACGATGAAGTACATAGAATTGCATTCTACTAAATTGTTAATTTTCACATTTAAGGTTATATTTGGAAGCACCGCTCATCACTGAAGATGCTGTGGAAGCATTGAAATTAGTGTCATCGGATGAAACCCGAGGACTTGCACCTTTGCAGCTCCTTAAGGAGATGGTCATTCGCCGGCCCACAAAACAATTAGTTTTCTTGAATGTACTGCTCTGTCACACTGGCCACGAAAACAATACGGTAATTTTTTTAAAAGGTTTTGAGGTTGTTAACGTATTTATGCTCTTATTAATCGTGTTATTGTTTCATTGGCGAGAAGATAAGGGAGGCAGCGATTCGATTAGTCGTAGAGCTATATGCACGTCCCGAGCTGAGTAAATTGATAGAAGAGTATGCAGTTCTCTATTTGGGTTTCTTGAGGCTACATAATCCACCAGAAATAGTATTTGGGCAAGACAGAGGCAGGCCTCAAATTGAAGACCTATGGTCAGAGTCAACTACGAGGGCATGTCTTGGATTGTATCTGGCTCTCTTAACAGAACATCAAGACCTCATTTACGAGTAAGATAAATATGGTTTAACGGTAGAATAACTTTGCATTCAGAATGCATTGATTATGTTTTACTTTTAAATAGATTGGCACGTGTATATACGTCAATGGGACCAGATGTGAAAAGGATGGTTCTTCGATTAGTGGAAGGTCCTGTCAGGTCCCTGGGTATGGGAAGCCCTCAGCTTTTGGCGCTTGTAGAAAACTGTCCAAAAGGAGCAGAGACATTAGTTACTCGAATTATCCACATTTTGACGGAGAAATGTAAGTTCTATACTAAATACTTGATTTTTATTTTAATTTTATTAATGTTGCTAAAACTTTCAATGATATTACTTACTTTTATCATTACAGCTCCTCCAAGTGCAGAATTGGTAGCCAGAGTAAGGGAGCTCTATCAGACCAGAGTCTCCGATGTAAGATTCTTGATACCAGTACTAAATGGGCTAACGAAGAAAGAAGTCATTGCAGCACTGCCAAAATTAATTAAACTGAACCCTATTGTCGTCAAAGAGGTTAGTATATCTTTGTTTATGGCTTACAGTCAGTTTTAGTAATTAAATTCCTTGTTTACCATTCATTGCAGGTGTTCAACAGGTTACTGGGGAATCACAACAATGATGGCAGTATACCACATACATCTCCGATAACACCAGCTGAATTGTTAATCGCTTTGCACAGTATCGACCCAACGAAAGCAGAGCTGAAAACTGTAATAAAAGGTATGGTGGTTTCTTTAATTTCTTTATCAAACATTTTTAAAATTTAATGTACATGTTTTAACGTTTCCAGCCACTTCATTGTGCTTTGCTGAGAAGCAAGCATACACTCAAGAGACCGTAGCAGTTGTAATGCAACATCTCATGGATATGACACCACTGCCTACGTTACTCATGCGAACAGTTATCCAGAGTTTGGCACTGTATCCAAGACTCAGTGGGTTCGTCATGAACATTCTCCAACGTCTCATTCTTAAGCAAGTGTGGAAGCAACCAAAGGTCTGGGAAGGATTCGTAAAATGTTGCGAACGCACTCAACCTCAAAGTTTCGCAGTGATCCTACAACTGCCTCCAGTTCAGCTCGCCGAAGCTCTTAAAATGGCGCCAGGATTAAAGGCTCCACTTCTCGCACATGTAGAATCGTTTGCTGAAAATCAGGTAAATTCTTTCATGCCCAAATCAACAAGGAGAGATTAGGGTTAAAGATAATCACTTAAGAATACTTATCGGTTCCTTTTCTTCCAATTTTTAGAAAGCACACATTCCACAATCAATAATGGATGTCATTCAAGGAAAATCACTATGTGATCCAAATGATGATTTTGATATCGTAAGTTGAATCATATTGTTAAGAGTAAGTTCAACTATCAAATATTAAAATTTAATTTTATCTTTAAGGCACCTCCGGGAGACTACTCAATTGAAAAGGCTGAATCGATGGAAATTGATCTATCGGAGCCTGCACCGCCAGGATTGGATTAACATCCAATTTAGTAAACTTCGAGTATACAGGAGACTCCGTGACGTCTTTTAAGAATGTGAACCTCACTGAGTGAAGGCCTGAACTTTTATTTCGAGAAAAATGAATATTTAAGAACGTCAACGACTGAATAATGCAACGCACTTGTATCGCCAGTGCATATAAATATCTTTCAAATGGACTAATGAAAGTCGTCACACTAGGAATTCTTGAAGTCTCACAAGTGACAGTTCAGTTGGTGAAAAGACAAGGAGAAAGTAACTTTAACGCGAAAAGGGATATCAAAATATAAACGACATTACGGAAAGAGTGAGTCAACGGCTTCTTCAAGAAATTATGTTTTTTAAGTCCCAATCCCAGGTCTGAACCCTTGCAACAAATCTTTATTTACAGTCTGTTAATAACAATCTACTAATAGTTAGTACATGCTGCTGGATATATTCATGGTCGAAGAGCATCGCTTGGAATTCTGGTAAAGTAGGAACGTTGTCCCAAGGCATTTGAATCCCTGCAAAAATAGGACGTCTCCTACTTAACCTCAAAACTGTTACTTGGGCGATACACCGACATTAGGATATTTTAAATATAATGTACACTCCTGCGTACATCGAGAAGAAGTTATCTAGGTGCCGCTAAAATATATAATATATTCCGTAAACGAATCTTCAATTTTGTTTCCGATCTAGTCAAGAATTTTATAGCGAAGATTCCAGTCTCATCGGGACTCGACTCCGTAGCATTTGCAAACAGCAGTTGGATGTGTTGAATGTAAGCATTCTTTCTCACTGAATTAACGATTAAGAGCTGCATTGCAAATGACAATTACGTTAAAGCCAATCGTCTCCAACCTTTGGAGCCAATTGGCAACTGGTACGCTTTCTTTGGTAGAATTTCCTAAGCAAGATCTAACTTTGAAATCAATTCTCTCCGGTCTTTTAATCCATCGGTGGTCTGTGCGACGAGAACCTATGCATAGAAGGTAGATCCGTGGATCTACCTTGGTGGTATCAAAGTGTTCCTGGCAAATATTTCCCAAGCTGATCGTCTCTAACTTCGAGTTTATCACTCCGGTTTTCGTATCGATCTTGTAGTCATTGTGACGATTTAATTCCAGGAGGTAGAGCGATAATGCCAGTCTGTGGAGATCTACAATGGTGGTAACGTGACGGTTTTCGGGTCAACACTTCCTAATGTAAAGTATCCGTTTCGAAGGAAGTCAGAAAACTGTCACAGCGTAGGATCAGCCGTCCTGAAAGGAAGGATACAATCAACGTTTTTTAACAATGAGGGATTTAGATTCCATATTTATCCCTTGCGAGCGGAAATCTAGTATTAAGGTGATGCGAAAGTGGCGACAAAGAGATCTCGTTTATGAAACTTTCCTCCGAACTGGGTGTACCGAATCTATTCAAATTTTACAATATAAATATGTAAGACATAAGGAAGGTCCTGACCCCCATAAAATTTCGATTTTTATTTTCAAAATTGTTTATAGATATTCTTAGCATTTTTTATAAAAACTGATATTTCACGAGTGTCAGGACTTTCCTTAGAGTCTCCACATTTACGTTGCAAGGTTTGAAACGATTCGGTACACCCAGTTCGTATAAAAGTTTCATGAACTATTGCCGCTTTCACATCTTAACATGCTTCTTCTCTTTTCTCGCGGGAAAAGTCGTCAATGTTACTAAGCCTCGCTTACGGTCTTCTAAGGGCTCGCATCTGCTTTCGTCGTGCCTGCACGACTCCGTAGACGACTGCAGCGAGGCTGCGACAAGTGCTGGTGTGTTTAGTGGACCCTCCAGGATGAAACGTCCCCTTCCCTAGGACGAAGTAGGTCTCCATAGTCCCTTTGCCTTTAACTTCGATATGTCCTCGCTTCTGCGTCTGGTATCCTCGAGATTCTAGATACTAAAAACCGAGGGAATCATTTATCTCCTTGTATCATCGAAAATCAAGGCAATCTTCACTTATCTCTTCTTACTTCCGTATTTATTCGGTTGAGGAATATGTTACCGCCGTTTTGATTACGTTACACTACGTTAACCTTTTGCCGTACAAATTAACTCGGCAAAATCCCCGCAAAACAAGAAAATTTGTTTTATCCGAAATTGAGACCGGGAGTCTGACTCGTGGATGTTCATGTTTGGCCGAACATTTTTATCACGAGTCGGACTCGTCAAAGTATGTAACGGCGGGTATTTATTCCGCAATTTGATATTTAATTTATCACTTTGAAATTAGCCAAGTCAACTCGTTAGATATTGATCTACGAGAATAGGTACCTTTGCGATGTCACGAGGAACTTGGATCTTCCCCATGACACCTGTTGAGTCCATTCTGGATGCCTCGTTGACGGTATTACCCCATATGTCGAAGACAGGTTTTCGAGCTCCAATGACACCTCCGACTAGAGGGCCACAGCTGATTCCTACTCGAAGGTCGAAATTGTTGAAGGAGTGGACGTTGACGTCCTCCAGTCGGAGCCTCATCGACATGGCATAGTCCACTAGTCTGCAGAGGTGTTCCTTGTCGTCTTTATACTTTTCCTTTGAAAAAAAAAGATGTGTTAAAATTTTAGCGATCATTAGAAGAGCCTTGATCGATAAGGTTCCACCGAAGGACAATAACTACGTTTTGGCTTGGATTGAGACCAGAGGCCGCCATATAAGTTGCTCCTACGGTTTTGATCTTCTCGATGCAGTGGAATCGAGTCTCGTCCAGTAACTCGTCAAAGTCAGCTAAAAAACAATCGTGGTAAGCGAGCTTTGACTTGGTAAATCAGAAAGAGTTTAATCGAAAGAAATTAATCAGGTTTCAAGGAGGAATGAATTTGATGTCTAGGTGACGATTGCAATTTTATCGGAATAAAAATCACTTGACACTCACCGATGATTTCATTCAGTAATCTTATGCATTCCATCCCTTTGTTGACGTCCTCTGAGTAAAATTCCGTAAAATTGGGGACACTCGCAAACATCACGCCCACTCTGTCTCTGGACTGCGAGTACAGCTCCTTGAAGTGAAGGGGGTTCAGAGGTATCGAAGGATGCCTTTATCGCTACATTTTTAATACTTAATTACCAATTAACAAGTAAAATGACGAACCTCAGGGGCTCTTTCCTGCGTAAGAAAGTGATGAGCAACGTGATCGGGTAAGATGTTCTTCAGAAGCTGCATGTTATTGTGCCGTGACTCGATCATGTCCGATAACTCCCTCTCGGCTTGTTGTTTCCAAAGGAAGTCCAGCCTGGAGGTAACTTCGACGAGCCTGCCGTGATATGTCACCATGACCAGGAAGACGACAAGGAAGATCATCATCTGGGCCGAGAGAGGAGTCGCCGTCCTTCGTACAAGAAGTCACCACTTGAACCTCGTATAGAAACTCGACAGTTTCGCGCGAAAAGCGCAAGAAATTAAGGAAAATCGCGTTTACTTACGTCTTATCCCCATCAGAACTTGAGGCGAATAATTTCCGACAAACGACCAGGATTAGAACCGCATAGACAAGTACGATCACACTCGCCAAGGCAGTCTTGACCAAGTAATACAACTTCAAAGCTGAAGCGAGCGCAATGAGACATAGGATCCACGTGAAGACTATATGCTCCGGTCTTAAACAACTGGGCTTTATTCTTTCTTTATCAAGACCAGCTTTATCGTTAACGTCCAATGGCTCTCCTGCATAGGACAACAATTTCCTCCCAAAAGCCAAGAAGCCATCCAGTTCTTTCCTAGAACTCTTCCTCCGTTCCTCGTGCTTCTTGTAGTGTCTCTTCAGCTCAGTTTTATAGTACTCCGAGTATTTGTAAAAATGAGAGAACTTCCTAAATTGCCGGTGGAACATCCTGGAGCCTCTTTGGAAGGCGGTCGTCAGCTTCGTTCGGAGATTCGAGGTCGAGGAGGAGATCGTGGTCACGTCCTCCAGGGAGGATGAAGATCTCCTGATGGAGTCGTATGTATTATCGTCCTTTAAAGCCACTTCTAGAAATCCTAGAATTAGTTCGTCCAGGCCGACCGTTGGCGGGGCGTCTTCGAGTTGGTCGATCAGTTTTGATGCGGTTGATGTATTACTAGGGTCGGTTGGTTCTTCTAGCCATTGACCCTGGGCTGGACAGACCAGAACGCTCACGGAAGAGACCAAGGCCATCAAAGCGATGACCCCGCAGATGAAGGTGGTACGGTGTTGCTTCTTGTGCACCAGCAAGGAGGAAGCACGCTGAAGACACTTTGGGAGGCTCTTAAACTCTTCAGCCATTACCAGAATAGAAGATGCCACCAGTAGGATCGTCGTGCACAGGAGAGATAACAGCAGTACCGTGCAGCTTTGGATGGTAAAACATGTACATGTTGTATGTATAACGAAGTTAAGAAGGCATTTAATACTTTGGAGGCTTTGACAGACATTTAGCGAATCATTGAAGGTATTTCTAATAGATTATTATTAAAAAAAAATTAATAATAATAACGAGATTCAATAGCAAAAAAGGGATCAAGCTTTACTTGCGACGGGGTACAGCGTACCTTGGTAAGATTACAGCCTGGCACGTAGCGATGAAGAGCCAGATGACGAAGCAACAGGTCATGTTCGACTTGAACATGTCTTCGCGCAGTTGGCCGAACTGTAAAGAGAGTCGTTATTTATGTCATACATAATTTGTAAAATTGTTGGTAGCGTTTATATTAATTAGCATGTTCCTTTTAACCCTTTGCGGACGACACTTTTCCTTTGTAAAGGTTTTTAGGCGGCTATTTGCCGACACTCGTCCGGAAAGGATTAGATGTCAGGAAGAAATTTCAGAAATGGAATCAACCTTCTGCTCGAGGCTTTTATCATTGTAACTCAACGTCCAGGTGTTAATATTAGCAGTCCTCATTCTTTTATTACTGGCAGTCTCTAGTCCACCAGCTTTTGAGAAGAAGGTCGTCGTGGACTTCTGATTCTTGTTGTCGTTCTCGTCGTCCAGATACTCGGACTCCAAATTACTGATGGAGGTCGCAGTGTTCAGCTGTAAAAATCATTTCCTCTTTTAAGCGGCTTTGCATCGGGATAAACGCCATTGTCTTAAACAAGGTTCCTACGTTTCCGAATGGAATCTCTGGGGTCCAATCCGGACCAACATCTTCCTCCGTCCCGTGGCCACTGTTACCCGAAAGGGGATTAGAAATCCTGAAGCTTTTGCGAGTTCTATTCGTGTCGTCTTCGGCCCATATTTTCGGCCGCGAGGAATATCTTCTTCTGGACCTCAGAGGCTCCACTTGCTTGATTAAATACGTCACCACGTTTCTCTCCTTTAAATAATTGTCCCTTTCAGCTCCGTGACCAGGCTCCACGTCGTACGCATCGTTGAGACAGTTCAAGGTGTCGGCAGAGATATGCACTCTCCTAAAGGACGTTAACCACAGAGAAATAATTACGATCTACTCTAGTTACATCTTTAAAGAAATTCTAGATACCCAGGTATGCCTCCACTCTCGAGATGATTTGCCAGGGTTACATCGTAGGACCAGACGTCGAATTGCCACTTCCGCAATCCCAAAACTCCACAAAGCACGGAACCACTGTGAATTCCTATCCGCATGTTCAGGTCCACCTGTGCTCAAAATCGACTACTTATGGATCGAGACTTGACAAAAGGTAAAAAGGTACGAGAATGTACTCTCATCTTTTACCTATATAATTAATTTAATCCTTTGAATTCTTTTTTTCAGGGAATTAAAATCCGGAGGCCATACCTTGGTGGTGTATCGTACGTCGCGGATGGCCTTTATCATGTGCAGCCCCATTTCCACGCAACAATGTGCATGGTCTGGTCTAGCAGTGGGAAGACCCGAGACGCAGTAGTAACAATCTCCAAGAAGTTTGATTCGCAAGCAATGATTCTCTGCCGAAAGTCGATCGAAGCGAGCGAAGAGGTCGTTCAGGACCTTGACGAGTTCCTGAGCACTGCATTGACTCGCCAGGGCTAAAAAGAAATGAAATTTGCGTACCTTTCGGCACTTACTACCCTACATTCTTGACCGGCACTCGCTATTACCGGTGAATCCTTTGATGTCTGCGAAAAGAATGCTGACGTTCTCATAGCGATGTATGTAGATTCGGTGGAACTGGTTAGGCGTAAAAGAAATTGTTCCTCCTCGTGCCGTCTCGCGAGCTATGTCGCGAATCATTTCCTTGGCTACGAAGTCCGGAAGAACTGGAAAATGTTGAATAGAATGCCTCGGATTTATGAGAAATTAATTACCTACGTCTCACTGCATTGCGTTTTTTTTTTTAGGAACTCCAGAAAACAAGGTGTACAAGTGGAAGATGCGGTAAAAGTACCAGAGAGTAGCAGCTTTTCCTGGCGATTGTTCTCGTTTTGGGTGCGTTGCCGCGTCTCCATTGATCGATGGGTCTCCAAAAATGCTTGGCGTTGTCCTCTATCCGTTAAATACTTTGTGTACAGGCCGGCGAGGTTCACAGCGAGATACAGGAGTACGTTTGTTGCAAGCATTTGCAATATGCATTTCGTCTCCTGGAACTGAGAAAAACGAGAATCATCCCTGAACTTTGTGATACGATGGTCGACACCGCGCCAAGTACACGTATGCAGCTGAAGACCGAGTCTCTTTACCTTGACCGCCATCCAAGACCTCTATACTACTTTTATTTTTTATTTTGTTACGGGAAGTAGAAGCTTTCTCTCGGGCGAAACAAAGTATAGGATGGTACCGACGTACTCACGTATTGCGAATCGCGCATTAGAGTGATAACGGCCATCGCTGAATGCGTAAAAGCAGTTCCAAAGCCGGCCAAGACGCACCATCGCAAAGGCAGAGGCAACATGGCATAAGGAGCGTACACCACGAAGAGAACGTACCACATCCACCTTTGTTGAGTAGTGAAATTCAGTCCTGCGCCGATGAAACCTGCAGATTTAATTCGCAGGGAGTATCTTAAGAATTTCTTCATCCAATAAAAAGTCCCCCGGATTTAATTGTCAATTTGCCGTGAGATGTTTCAGGCCCTACCTTGAGAGTTTATGAAAAGCCAAGTGAAGACTGAGGCCCAGTACAAGTAATTATTTGAGAAACACCGCCACCAGCCCAAAATGCAGACCATCAAGTTTGCGATCATGCAACAAATCGTCCAAGATATCGACTCGACCAATCCATCGCTCACCTCGTTTCTTCGCCACAGCCAGGTAACAACGAGTGCAATCTAACCGCCAATTAGCAGAAATTAATGACAATTTCTTCGCATGATTTTTTATTAATAACATTCACCTTGAGACCGAGGTCTATTACGTTGAGCATGATGAGTGATTTCTGTCTCTGACAATTGGAATAAATCAGATACGACGACTCCAACTGTTCGTTGTGAAAACTGTTGGTCAGGGATGGGCAGAATATTCCCTTGATCATGATGCCTTTCTTGAAAACGTCTGAAAATTGACGAAGAACGTCGAAGAACTCGCACACAATGGGCAAATCGTAGAGGAGGAGCTTTAGAAAAATGGAGAACCTGGCTGAGTATGAGTCTCCTCTTCCAGAATAGGTTGCTTAGCAGCGGCAGGCTCCGCTTCCTCGACAGTTTCCTTTTCGTCCTCGACTATTTTCTCCATGGCTTTAATGTCTATTGCTCCGAGTTCGGAGTTCCAAGCTGCAAGACCCTCCCTTCCGAGCCTCTCGGATGTGAGCTTTTTCACGGCCTTAATCCATAATTGCTTCCGCGGTGAAATACCCGATCTGAGATACGAGTCTAGTTTTGTCGTTGAGCATGCCCAGCTAACTTAATTTCAACTATGACTTACACGGCATTAGCAGAATTTCCTAACGTCTTTTCTTTCTCTAATAAAAATAGCATGCAGATTACGAGCACCGAGCGCAATTAATTCGTGTAGAGGTACTCTGGGTTACTAATTTCAAGGACGAGGTGTTCCGGCAATAGGCGGTCCAAGTGCATGATAATGTATTTTGTTTATTAAACAGCGGAATTATGCGGACTGGATTTCAGTGGGGGAAACTCAGTCCTCGTCGGGGGAAGGATCCAAATGATTTTTACTAAAAGTACACGATAAAGGGCTTATGGTACTACGTTCGATCCATTCTAAATACCGAAAGTTGCTTACTCGTTCATGCTTGTAACATCACTGTCAAGCATCATACTCCACGTCTGTTCTGTAATCATTATCTTGCAATGATTTATTTTTTCTTAATGCCTCACGTTGCTTCCAACGATGCATTCGTGCGAAAATTCGACATCGTGAGTGATAAAGTTCTTCCTAAATTATAAATGATAAGGATGTAGGCGTGGTGACCCTACAGTTTCATAGTAAAACCATTTAATACCGAATAATTATTTATGCGCACTTACAGCAGTGGCTTATAAATTCAGTTCTGGATTTATTCCAGATCTCTTTGTTTTCAAGATTCGTATCGTCCTCGACGCAGCATCGTTCTGTCGTATCTTTTTGCACAAGATCACCAACGAGGACGAGAAATCGCTTCATTTCTTTCACATAAACAATGGTCCTGAACTTTAACGCGCAACTAATCTTCCTACTAATTCACAATTGCTGAAGTGTATTACTTTCTCATCCAGGTACACATTCTGGAAATAATCAACAATTAGTTATGCATTATCAGTTATATTTATTTTTAGGAGTTGCTTTACGTGTAAATCTATTTGATATTTTAGGCAACTGTTGCGGAATTTTGAAAAGAGCTAGCGCGTAGTTTTTTTTTCTTTTCCTCTCGTATGTGTATATTATATTTTTTATTGATATCAAGGCCGCTCGGGTGTTTTCAACCGGAAATCGATTTACTCACATTCACTGAAATCCCAGAGCTTACCAAAAGTAAATGCACAACTGCACCATAGTGAAATTTGACCACATACATACATCCCTTTCATTTAATAACAGCACGATATTAACTTTTTACCGCAATTTATTAGCGGATTACAGTGAGGTTAATCTTACAGAACAATTTCATTAGATTTAATTTAATTTAAGAGAACGTTTTAATTTACCTTAATTTAATTTCACTCTTTCGTACATTAAATTTCGTTGAAACTGATACAACTGAATGCGGTCGTTTACAGAGTCTCCAAAAGGAGGATATTTATAGGAAAACTGGAAAATTACACATTAACTTTCTAATTACAACTCTCTCTGATGTCAACTCATCGAAGGCGAAAATCAGATTTTCCGTCAACTGGAAATAGCAAATATTATTGTTCGCGCGGTCTCTAAGAAGACGATATTTATTGGGAAAATGTGGTCACAAATATCTGGCACAATTGCACCAAAGTAAAGTTTAACCACATACATACACCCCTTTCATTTAACAACAGCACAATATCGTTAACTTTTTACAGCAGTTTTTAAGCGGATTACATTGCCGATCTCACAGAACAATTTCATTAGATTTCGTTTAATTTCAGAGAACGTTTTAATTTACCTTAATTTAATTTCACCCTCTCGTACATTAAAATTCGTCGAAACTGATAAAACTGAATGTGGTCGTTTACGGAGTTTCCAGAAGGAGGATATTTATAGGAAAACCGGGGAATTACACCTTTATCTTTGAAATTACACTCTCTCTAATGTCAACTCATCGGAGGCGAAAATCAGATTTTCCGCCAACTGGAAATAGAAAATATTATTGTCCGCGCGTCTCTAGAAAGAGGATATTTATTGGGAAAATGTGGAGTCACAAATACCTGGCGCGCGTCGCACCTTTACCGGACACCTTTGCGTCTGGCTGATCTTCGAAGGCAGCCATGTGAATCCACCGACGTGCGATAGCCTATTGACGTCACAGAGTTTCATCCCCTCTCGTTTATTGTACAAGGGATGCTGTGAGAATTGCCTTCGGTTGGTATCCCAAGTACACCGGTATTCGTTAATAACTTTCGAGGGGATTTCGTATTCGGCACCCAGCAATTCTCCCGAGGGGTTTCCCTCTGCTGCCATTTTTGCAGCTCCGAGATCGAAAAAGGGGATGCGATTGAAAATGAATATTTAAGACCACAAGCTAATTAGTGCATTCGGTTTACTTACGAGCCTTCAGGAAAGAAGAGGAAGATGCATCTCATACGTTTACGATTTTCCCATGCCAATTGTTGCGGTTCTTGTGACGTAGGAAAATGTGCTCACGAGGGCACCGTCTTCGCCGTCGTTATCTTACTATCTGTAATGGAAGAATATTGCTACGTAATATCGAACATTATTTAAGGGTTCTTAATATCTATGGGACGTCCAAGCGACGTAGGAAATTGGTTCATGCATGGGAACATGTCTCGATTCTTCCAGAATGTAGAAAATGTGCTCACGGTTAGCATTGCTCTCGCTGCCGCCATCTTGCAAGCTGGAACGGAGGAGCGGTTATGCGTTAAAGAATTCATTTTGAAGTTCACCGTAATTTCCAGTACCTGCCGAGCAATTAGACCGTATGATAAATCTCCCCATGAGTGTGCTTTAATGATTTCATCGTAATACAATTCCGTCAGAATCGACGTGGCTCCGTATTAGTAAAGAGCGTGACTCACGGCTGATAAAATTCTAAAAAGAATTGAATGAACACCATTACGCATCGCGCTGATTCTTGTTTGTTATTTCCCTCTCATTACTCTACATGTTCAGAGTGGTTTCAATATTCTTCCAAGATCCCCGTTCCTGGCCATTCTGTGAATAAGAAGAACATCGGTTAAACAGTGTTTAACTTATTTTCGTACGGCGGAAATTCTTTTTTCCGTTTGCCTAGAACTAGGCAGGTACTATGAATTTCTCCATGATACATCGTTACAACATTCGTCACCTCCACTAACGGGGTGCCGTATCTTATCATCGGATAAGAGCGGCAGGTCCTCCGATATCGGCCGAGAGGTGTGGTACTCTACCTGGATGATACTAGTCGACTCTCATCGTTAGTTAAAAAAAAAAGGAACGAGGAAAAGGCGACTCCGTGCACTGACCGCGATGAGTTATGCGAATTAAATCTGCCTAGATTTGTGATCTCGCAAGGTGCAGTGAAATTAATTTTCAGGCGGCCGAAAAATACGTGAACATTCGCATTGCTTCAAACATCAACAATGTATAAACGTTTGTACCTGATCGTCGCGTGTATCTTGGGTAAGAGTACTTTTAAGAATTACATGAACAATCTCTGAATGAACGCCTGACTTAGACATCTTTTTTTATCGATTTGATGTACATGGGCTGATGTTTTGCAGTAATTTTCGCCCGTGAAAATGCCTCGAAAAAATTGCCATCCGTGGTTGTGGAGTGTTACAATGATACCTATATCTTGAACAAAGACAACAGGCTACCTCATACCATGCAGACTTTGATCGCCCTTCTTCGGAAAATTGAGGACATCGAGGGGTTAAATATGGATTCTCGCACTTTATCTTCAGTCATCCTGCACAGGTAAAAAAATATTGATCAGCCAACGAGTTGCTAGTGACATAAAGTAATAAAAATGTTATGATCGTTACTAAATATCATTTTCAGATTCCGTCGAGACGGTATCGTGTTTAATCCCTCAATTCGCGACCAGCAAGGTGTTACTCCATACGCCACGAGTTCTGAACAATCGGCTAAGCAAGAAGCAACTTTACGTCTTATCCCCAGTAATGCGAGAACGTTTCCTAATGAGAGCCTCACGATTATCGAACGGGTGAGAAGCATCACAAGTTGTCCTGCATGAACGTCAATAATGCATTAACTGGATCTTCGCCATCCTAAAAAAATGTCTTCTATTAATATTAATTAATAAATGTTCACAGTGCTCCCTTCACGCCATGTTATCGAGTAGTATCGAATTATTCGAGCGGGGCGACGAAGGAACCACATGTAAACTGACAAACGAGCTTTACAGACAGTGGAAAAGAAGCGTCGACGATGACGACAGTGGCATCCGAAAAAGTATACCCGAAGACGTGGAGACGTTAACGCCCGAGCAGTTGTAAGTACAGATCTTGAAAATCAAGTGACACATTTAGATTATACGAATATTATGTAAATTTATCACGCTTAAAATTATCAGGGATTTAATTAACAGCAGCGAAGGCAAGCCTGCGACGATCACGGTGGATCCAAATTCAGTGTATCCGGATTTACCACCGAATCATCCGGACACTGCTCGGTTTTCCATTGAACACCCTCGTAGTAGATGTCCCGTAGAGAATGGAGTTATAAAGACACGGTAATAAGGAATGTTTAAATAATACGAGTTAAAAATTACGATGAGATTTACGTCATCGTTATCATTTCAGCTGGGGTGCGGTATCAGCTGGGGCTGTCCTAGCTGGCCTCGCAGCAGGTTTGCAGCCGCAAACAGTTTCGGTCCGTGATGTTCTACGAGGTCGAGCCATGGATAGTGGATTATCCGAAGATGTGTCAGTAAACAATGTATGGCTGGCGACGTTAGCTGGTAAAAATGAATTTGTTTAACCAGATACCTGGGAATTCCTTCGTTTTGGGATTTCTATTAATTAAATATATTTACCCACAGGCGACTTGGCAGAGATGGCGATATTGCAGGGGCCCCACATGCGGAATGAAGAAATGGATATTGGAGTAAACGGCAATTGGAATTCCTCAACGTTACCTCGGTGGTACTTCCTCGGCTCGAGCGAAAACCTCGAATTCACCGCTGCTGAAATCAGAGGAGACTTGGATGGATTGATCATTGCCGAGGGCTTTGAGGACTGGGACTCAAAAGTATCGAGTTTACGACTTTCGCAAGTATTCGACATGTATTACGGACCTCGAGGAGTATTCAGCCCGACGATACGAGCCTGTAATCGAAAAGCCTTATTCCCCACGGCTGCTCCAGAGCCAGCTTTGTTTGGACAGGTACTCCATTCTTGCAGTCTCGCTGCATTTAATTGTTGTATGTAACAGATACAAGATAAACCATTTGTTTCAGGCTTTCAGTGCTTCTTTGATATTGAATCGTGAACTAGCGGAAGCAGGCATCGAATCATCTACCATGCAAAAGTTCTCCATGATCGCCGTGCAGACGTTATTGAACCATGTTGGTAAGTACCTTGAAACAAGGAGTTGAAATTTCCCATAAAGTTAAAATTATTAAGTATACTTGCATGTCCCTTTAACTGCTAACAGAGACGTCGATGAACGGTGACCCAGCCTGTCCGGATTTAAACAACCCGAAGGATCAAAGTCGTCCTGCGGTGGATCTGACGGTCGTTCTGGACATCGATTGGCCTTTCACGTCCATACAGCCTGTTTTAGCGTAATTACATTTATTTATTAATAATCAACTGCAAACCGTCGCCGTAGAGGAGCCATTAGAATACAAAGGATTAAATAAAGATTTTCATTATTTTATTTATAGAACGCTCTTCGACCTCATCGACGTCGACAAGTATGGCAGCAATTTTACGTTGATTAACGCGCAGGACGGAGGTGTCGTTATTCCGAGCACCAACACAATTCTGGACTTCCATGGCTTTAATATCACTCGTTATCAAAATTGTACGTATACCAAAAGAACGTGGAATCCTTATTAATTAGTATTCATGAGAAATGACGGAAGATTATTGCGTCTTTTGTATTCATGTGCACCTTTCAGCGTCCGGAGGCTTCAATTTGCCAAAAGTGTTGGAAAATGTTCGCCTTTCGCGCGTTGACAAGATGAACGAGGAGCAGCGATTAGGCATCGGTGGAAGTAATTCGGACGTGGTCCTAATAATTCCTTATCAGTCCTCTGCTATTTCCGATCTTGACAAGGAGTACTGCATGGAACTCCTGAAAACTATTTACGAGGAAGCACCAGGTGAGTTGTAGGTCACTCTTCACAGTCCAATGCACCGTAATGCACGGAGAAAAGGGGTGAGGAGAGTCGCGGGGCCTGGAAGAGGACGTTAATAAGGTTAAACTAATGCCCCAGTTTCTGACTGCATATAAATATTGACATTCTGCACTTCACACGGAATATTAATTATACTTTAGAAGCACTACGGAAATGGTAAGACTCCTGCTGATATTTTCTTGTTTGTATTTTAACAGACCTTACGATCCTGTTTTTGACTTATGGGCCGAAGGACAAGTGGTCGGAGTTGGTTCGAGATCCAATGAAGGATATCTTCAACGTTCAGATTGGCAACACGCCAGAATCATTCTCGTATTTGGATAACGTTGTGTCCAGGATAAAGCAAGGTAAGAGAAGGCTCTTTAAATAAAAAGTCAATGATCAAGCTTACGTATAAAACGTTGCAAAATATTATAAAAAAGGAGAAAGAGTCTTCTTCCGATTAAAATGTCTATTCTGAACATTGTTATCATTTTTCTTATGCGATAAATTATTTTCCACGCGTTTTATGCAGTTCCTAAGAGGCTCATCAATTCTCAATGCGGAGCTACCAACGACAAGAAGGGAAGTTCGAGGCAATTCGTAGATTACGTGGAACCTTCTACTGTCAATTATTACAGACTTCATCCAAACTATTTCTTCGCTCCAGGTGCCGAGGACATACCTAGAATAAAGGTAAAATTAGTATTTTCTTGTGTCGCATTTGCATAATTTGTCGGATTTTCTCATTAGGTGCTTTTTCTTTCACGAAGTGAAAAGTCGTTATCAGAATTGTAGGGAAGAAGATGAAATTAATTTCATTTTGCAGGTTCAAGGAGCTGGTTGGGGCACGCTGAAAGTCTGCGTGTCGCGAGATGCTCCCATGGATACAACAGAAATCTGGACCAATGGTACTTGCACATCAGTAACTGGTAATACACACACAATTGAATTGCCCTGCAACGACGCAAGTTTAATCCACGAGTGTAGTCCTGTTTATTTGTCGATAACGACTACAAATTCTACTAGCCAATCGTACCATTGTATAGGTGAGCTTTAGATGATACAAGTCTAAGGAATCGTTCCTTGACGCATTTTTATTTGGTGTATTTTAGACGTACTATTTAATATAAAAATATAAATTATTATATAATACATTCACCTTTAATCTGTTTCAGATAAGAAAGTCTGCAGATTCCCACACATGATTAAATTCACAATTTCCTACGAAAATCTAGTCTGCGTCAGCAGCGCAGGCATTGCTGGCCTCACCGTACCATTAATTTTAATTCTTTCCATCATACTTATAAGTTATTAAATAATAATGGTTTGTTGTAGGAGTGGTGAGTGGGCACTTGCAGAGTACTGTAAGTTGAAACTTAACAACAGGAACTTTTGCTTTTTTGGCCACTGTAAGTTGTCAATTGCAATGTTCTGGACCTATGCTAATAACGAGTAGTAATTCATAAACTGTAATTTTTTGGACCGTATAATAGAATATAATTTTTATATTGTGTAAAGAAAATTACATGGGACACATACGTATTCGCATATTGTCGCACATCCTCGTCGATAAACGAAAATTGTAAATAAATCATTGCTAGAAGAATCAGAAAACTATCAGAGTAACTGTGTTCTGGAAGAGTTTATTTCAATATCTATGATGCTATTGACAGAACACATAATTCGTAATTTATAAAAAGTATAACAATTAATAATATAGTCAGCTGCCGCTTATGCAGTTGAGCAGTTCTTTTTACATATTTTCTATACAAATAGTGTTTCAATAAGCAATTACCTGTAGCTCTCTTTAAACGTAAGGTTTGCAAAGTGACACCGTGTGATCGACACCGCAGGCCACCTTCACCACCTGTGCACCAACAGAGACCTGAAAGCATCGATTATATACAATTAGAGATAATTTATAAACCAGTTAACGGTAGATTGTAATTATAAAGTTGTTTTCAGTTATTAACGTGTAAAGCACAGACCATCAAATAAAGGTGTTGTCTGGCTTATAATCTTACTTTTAGAGGGAAGTATTGATTGTTTCGATGTCCAAGTCCAAGAGATCCAAATTTATTAAGTCCCCACATGTAGAGGTCTCCTGAATTTGTTACTGCTGCTAGTTGACTGGTGCCACAGTATATGCTTGTAACCTGTGTAAATAACAAAAACAATGTCAGTACCTTAAATGATTTACTACTTGTAACCACTCTTGAATTGTTTTTTACACCCTAAAAGAACATAGCACAAACCAACCCTAATATTTTGCTCATACTCGTTTACACCGAAAAGAGGGGATGGAATTTGTGTAGGTTTCAGGATACTTTGTACTTCAGGGCCAAGTCCTAGAATTCCATAACCCCATACGTATACTTTCCCTGTATCTGTAAAATAATTAAAAATAAATATTGTACAAGTTTCATTGTATGTTAATCAATTATAGAAGAATAATAATAAAGAAACGTACCGTCTAGTACCATACAAAAACTGCCCCCTGCAGCAATATCCACAATGCGTCCAAAACCTTGAAAGATGTCCAGCTCGGTAGCAATATTTATCTGATGATTATCGCTTTTAATCGGGAATTGTCCATATTCGGAATTACCCCATCCAAAAACTTTACCTTTATCTGCAAATATTAGAAAATAAAATATTTGCTCTAACGTGTCAATTGCAAGTTCTTACCACTAAGAGCTAATACGCAATCAGCTGCACAAGCCACTTTTGTGATACGTTGACCAGCTAAGTCTCCTTTAACTAATGTTGGTTGATACTCATTCCGATAATGAGCGAGCCCAGTTTGCCCATCTGCTCCCCAACCGAATGTATAAACATGGCCAGATTCCGTCAGCAGTATACTGCAAGAAAATTGAAACAGTTTAAATCAATGTTATATAAATAAAGTAACTTAAAACCTTTGCATTCAATAAGCAAGATATATTGAGAAATATATTGTTTACCTGTGATCCTGACCAGCCATTACTCCCGTGATACATTCCCCTTTGACATTAGGAATATAATGAACCACTAAACTCTTTGAATATTTTTCATCTGGAATAATTTCTCTGCCGCATTGGCCGTATCCATTGTTACCCAAAGTAAACACTCCTTCTTTAGTTAAAACTAACAGGTGCGCCCGGCCTGCAGCTATTCCAAGAACATCGGTAGTATCTTGTTTAAGAGGTAACTGTATAGGTCTTGGTGCAGGTATAATGTCTTCTTTAAATTTCTTATCACTTTCGTCAAATCCTATAAAATGAATCATTTTATTCCAATGAAAGAAATGAGACAAAATTTCTTTTATCGCAGTGTTGTGAAACAATGAATTTGATGTCATGAAGTAGCTGCATTTTGTCAGTAACTCATTGGTTAATCAACAATAACAATAATTTGAAAGTACCTACCCAATTGAGAGTCGGTATTAATGCCACTGCCATAAAGAACATTCTTGTCCTTTGATTTCACTGCAAAAGCAGTGAAGCCGTAACCACAAGCGATATCGGTGACTTTATGATATTCTCCAAAGTACAATCTACTTGGTTTTGCTATATAAGCTATATTATTCTCCCTTAAAACCCTTGACGTCGACCCAAGTGCACCGTGCTCTGCAAGGCCCCACACATAAACTCGATGATCACCTGGCTCGCTTACTGGGTACTGAAACACTGTAAAATATGATTAAATTAACAGTGTACAAAATAAATGATAGTGTATTATAATACAGTACGAATATAAATTTAAATTTTATACATTCCCATTCATGTAAATGTATAAAATTACCTCAACATAGGATATTAATCTAAATTAATAATGGAGCAACCAATAACTATTTAATAATTACGTTACTCGTCGACATCGTGAACATTTACCGGGTAATGTATCCTTCTTAACATTACGAATTTTATTCTTCTTCGATTTTGCGCTGTCCCTGGCACTTTTAACAATGAATGTTGTATAAGCTCTTGTAGAACGAATCATTATCATTTACGTTAGGAACATTATTCATAATTTCTGTAAATACAATTATTTACATCCACGTAGGAGGTTATGTTACTCAGTTCCGCATCGCCATATTTTCGGCGCCATGAGGAAATTTAAAAGCCTGAGTTTAGCTCCATGTAGTGGAGACGCGTAGAAGCTTTAGACCCATGGACGTAAGAATCTTACGTCCATGGTCGGCACACGTGGCCCATATGGTATTCGAGTTTACCCCTTCCATTGCTATGCGAGGTCTAAATATTTATGTCAGAGGTGGAAGCGAACTAATGAGAGAGAGTTTCTACCAGAGATAAGCAGGGCGTTTATTACGTATTTTTGACGAGCGCACTCACTTCTCGCACTACCATCTCACGTGGGTTTATTCCCCGAATTACGTATTCGCTATATGAAAGAACGAGATCACTAGCACTTCCAATATTGCAAATAAAGGTATATACCTTGTAAATCGAACATTGTTGAGAGGTGTGGGTTATAGGCAGGAAAGGCGGGAAGATGGAAAGCCGTTAAAAGTAAAGAAGAGGACTCGAGTCTATTCATATTTTTTAAATATGTATTACATTCATATTTACCATATTTTTGAGCCAGTTCATATGAATGGTCTCGCATTTTCACCACTAGAAAAGTTCCGTAAATCGTGTGCTACTCATTTTTCACATTTTCGCTCAATTTGCTTTACGTAATAGACCCTCAGTTGGCTTTTACCGGGAAAATACATTTATTATCTGGAAAGAAATGACAATGAAATATAAATGAGTACCTAAATAGAACTATCAAACCGGTAATGATTAAATAAACCGAGAAAATTACGTTTCACTATTTTCCACAAGAACAAGAGTTTGTGCCGTTTTTCACGTATGTATGTACAGAGATGAGCAGGCATCTCTGGTATGTATGTATATACATCAAGGTTTCTCCCTTTGTGTAATGAAATGAATTTGCAAGTTAAGGAAACTTTGTACTTCTCACAATACATATACTTTGAACGCTACATGATAAACTTAATGTAGTACATATAAACCATGACTCATTACTGCACGAGGCTCCGTATTTTCCTGCTCCAAAGTTAAACGTAAGCCGAGAATTCCATGAAAACATTACTCCATAATCGCAGCAAAAAGTTTCTTTCGTGACCTTTAAAATTCGCGCTTCCAGAATTCATACCAGCAAATATCAACAGGTGTCAATTTGAAAGTTCTGAGGGAAGGTACTTCCAGTGTTTTTAATCGTATTTACAATTTAATTAGATGCGGTAAATAAGATCAAGAGACATTGTGGCGTCGTAGACATAAATGTATTTGTAAGTATGATCTCTTGTTTAAAAAAAAAAGAAGTAAACTCAAATCGGCTCCAACGGAATAAACCAATCACGTGTGTTAGTGATTTGCCGCGAATCTAACATGGAGGTCGCAGCAAGTGAACCAAAGTGAACCGTTAACAATCAGTCTTTAATTACGTGTCAATTGGATTAATAATTCGATCAGCGAGGCTGATGATTTTATTAAAATTCTGGATATTTCGGCATTTGAGAACGCAGAGAAATGCTGTAGACTACGTGGTAAAAATGGATTTCCTAGACGTTAGAAGATCTTGACGGGCATTAATGTGGCCGTTTTCGATTTACATCAGAGAAGTTTCGCAAATGCGAGTTAACGCGTCTCTGGGAAGCTTTTCCATCACTTGAGAGTACGAGAGAAGAGCCTAGGTAAATCACCTGGCCTGATCGTCTCTACTAGTTTGCTAGAAAGAGTTTAGGAATTTATTCCATATGCGTCTCAAAGGCACATTGGTCCCAATCATTATATTATCAGGAATGACTTTACTTGCAAGGCATGTCTGCTAACTCAGATTAGAAACTGGTAGAAGAAATCTTAAGCTTAATCTCACATACGCAAATGTCCAGAGAGTCGTTATGTGATTACGTTTACTTCTAAGATTAGAGTCGTTAGTGGGAGGATTTATATCTTGTCACTGAAATGTCATTGTATGCAAGGAAGAGACAACACGTCTCAGTGTCTCGGTCGTCTGACACACTTTATTGTAATAACTGTGATTGCGTATAAGTTACAGTGGAGATGCCTGAAAGATTAATGTTTTCATTACTGTAGAGGTTATGTGAACAATATACAAGTTAAACGGAGGAGTATATATAGATTGAAATTTGTAAGAAAAGAAACTTGTAAAAATCTGTGAAATGTTAGACTTTTATTTACGTATAAGCATGTCTCGTTTAGTTAGTTAACTTTGATTAATTTTTAATTCTTTTAGGTTATGATCTGTGTTTTTGGTGCCCTGTCAAGAATCAAGCTCAGAGAATGGTGAACAAATTGCCACAGGAGTTTCGGAGGTATCAGCGGAATCGGAATCACCTGCGACACATATTGAAGGAAACCCAACGCATACTTGGAGTGATCAATTTGGAAAACTTTTTCGTTGGAGGTACATATAAGTCAATTAATAGAAAAGTAAAGCTGTTTTTTTAGCTGCAATATGAAAATACATATATTTCCCTTTCCTTGTATGTCAATTTATTGTTTCATCATAATCTCTACGTTCGACAATGTATTTTAATTTATGATAGAACATTGAGTCTGAATTATGAGATAAGTATTTCTATTGTGTGCTAATAGTGCAATTTGTCTCTAATAAATACAATTGAAATATGTTAAACTTTTAAATGTTTTCAGAAAATATCCTGGAAGAATTATTACCACCGCTGACATTAAATAGGATTACTCACATACTTGAAAACTGTCCTGCAATAATTGTTTTTGGTCAAGACAGCAGAGCAAAGGCATCGTTAGTGAACAACCTCCTTTCTACACCAATTCTTCCTGTGTGTACTGGTTCTTGGCGGTGGATTAAATTTGGCTATGACAAGACAAATCATGTCAGCTTAAGTCTTGGCTTGGAGTATGAAGTGGTAGAGAAATTGCATGCAAACGAAAAGTCATGGAATACACTGCCGACAGATGATTTATGTAAATCTGACAATGAAGATACCAACTGTCCAACAATATTGGAGGTGAAGCTTGATCAGTCGACTTTAAAGGATGGTGTGCAGATTTTTGTCGTTCCTAATGGAGGAGCCATTGATATTTTGGCTAAAGGCTCTCTGGGTATTCTGCCAATCTTTCTTTATGCTCTCAGCGATTACTCTCTCACAGAACAAAATGTAGAAGAATTGAAGAACTTAAAGGAAACTTATCCTTATAATCCAGTTCTGTTTGTGTCATCTTTGACCGATGTTTTGGTGGAAAGTACCGATGAGGAGTTGACTGAGTCTGAACAGCACAGACTCCAGGCACGGCTACAGTCCTCCGACCTGAGTCACTCCAAAGATGACAGCACAGTCGAGAAGGAAAACTCTCTTGAGCCAAACAGAATGAATTCCCTCGGCACAATGTGGCTGGACCAGTTGACGAGGTTAGGATTCTTGCGAGTTGAAGAGTCTGTTGAGGTGGATCAAATGTCTTGGCAGTACAATTCGAGCTCCAGTGACTTTGTAGAATCTTGCAAAAAAATTGACCGTGTGGCATATTTCGTGCGCAGCTGCCTTCGCAATTACCTAGTGAGTGCGAGTGACTATTTGAATGAAGTGCATACAAACAGTCTGCGAAAGTGCATTTTAAGTGCATTCGACATGGCCCGTGAAATTCAAATAACTCCAAAAAGGATACAATATGTTCAACAGAAGGAAACAGAACTATATTCAAATCTTCTAAATGTGGTCAGTGAGAAGCAAGAAGAGTTAACGGAAATGATTCAGACAATAATACAGGAGATGAAGGATAACCTCGAAACGGCCAATGATATGTACCTCTGTCAGGACATTTCACTGGACGACGAGGAGAGAAGAGAGTGGTCAGCGACCGTTCAAGCAGCAACAGTAGAGGTCCAGAGACTAGTTCTGGGACGTTTGGGTGAACGGGTTGCGAAGCAACTTGTTAAATCTGTTAACTGCTTGAGAGATACCTTTGTTGGAACGCTGCAACGTTGCTTGTCAAGTCTAGAGAGGAATTACGAACAAGAATCCAGCTTATTGGCTAGTGACGCCCTAAAACAGATCCTTTCTGCAGCCTACAACGTGGACCTGCAAAACTCCTCTCCATCCTTTGTGCACTCTTTTCTAGAGAGGCTTCGACAGCTCCTTAAATCTCTGCCACTACCTTGGTCTCCAACACCTACTCTAGATGAATCTTGGAGAAAGAAGGTCACCATTGATATCCTGAATTCTCTGTCTTCTGCAAGACTAGCTCGAACTATTTCCACTCAGTTCAAAGATAAGATAAGATCTTCTCACGACGCTTTTCAAGCAGCATTGAGATCCCTGGAGAACCATTGCTCCGGCAAACTCGAAAGAACCGAAGAACAACGAGTGGCCATTCGAAGGTACCATGCTCCAAGGCTCGCCAAGCTTGCTCTAGAATCAACCTCTATGAGTGACATAGTGAGGTATGGGATTCCCTACCAAGGAAAGGAAATTGGAAGGGGCCAATATGGTGTTGTCTTTGCCTGTGACGGATGGGGTGGAGCACCAGGACCATGTGCTGTCAAGTCAATCGTGCCTCCTGACGATAAGCATTGGAACGACCTGGCAATGGAGTTCTACTTTACAAGATCTATTCCAGACCACAAGAGGATAGTGAAGCTTCGTGGTTTGGTGATAGATTATTCGTATGGTGGCGGATGTGGCTTCAATGCTGCCGTTCTCTTGATCACCGATCGACTAAGTCGAGACCTGTATTGTGGTATACGTGCCGGTTTAACATGGCTCGAGAGAACGCAAATAGCTATCGATGTACTCGAGGGCATTCGATATCTGCATTCCCAAGGCCTGGTGCATCGTGATATTAAGTTAAAGAATGTCCTCCTGGACACCGATAATCGAGCCAAATTGACAGACCTTGGGTTTTGTATCACCGAAGCCATGATGTCGGGCAGTATCGTAGGCACCCCTGTGCACATGGCTCCAGAGCTACTTTCTGGTCATTATGACAGCAGTGTTGATGTTTATGCATTCGGAATTTTGTTTTGGTACATCTGTGCTGGGCATGTACGCCTGCCGATCGCTTTTGAACAGTTTCACAACAAGGAACAATTGTGGAACAGTGTTAGAAAAGGTTAGACCTAGTTTTAGCACTTATAGAAAGTGTTTTTGGTTTTAAAAATCCGGGTTTACAAGGGTGCTTTCGTTTCAAAACTAGGAATCAGACCAGAGAGATTACCCCACTTTGATGAGGAGTGCTGGAAGCTGATGGAACAGTGTTGGGCAGGCGAGCCATCTCATCGACCATTGCTTGGTGCGATCCTCCCTGTGCTGGAGTCGATAAACCAGAGGGCTGAACGAGGCAAGTCCTTACAAGCAGACATGCTGAGGACACCGGAAAACTCTCCTGAGCCGAGGAGTCCAGCATTAGCTCTGATGGAACCTTATAATCAGAGAGGCACCTCCGCCAGTCCGCACCCCTTAAGACGTAGACCTCTGCGGGCTCTCAAGCACCCTGTCCTCCACATGACCAATTTCTTCCAAAATAGTGTTTGCTCCAACCTCTACATACAGATGCGCGAATTCTGAGACTTGCATTCACTTCATTTCAAGTTGTTATCCAGAAACTTAGACGTCAGCTTTGAGCTTACTCTTTGACTTTTCACTGATCTTTGACTTCTGCAGTGACTCTTGTGTTGTCTGATGGGTTCTTCCTTCGATGCTCTCTCTCTTTCCAAGGACCTCTTTATGGTCAAACTTGCAATAGTGTTGTGGATAGCATTAGTGTGTTGGATTTTTGGTTTGTTAGATGTGTAGTATTCCTCCCCTTGGGAGGGAGTCTTAATTGTTGACATATATTTTATTACAGTGATTCTCATTGGCCTCGGAGCAAGACTGAATATTTACATATTTTACAGTAGAGAGAGACCGTTCTATCGCTGCCTGTTAGGTTCATGTAAACTTTCTCATTGATTGTTGATATTGTATATTTTATTCAAATAATACTCATTGGTCTCAGGGCAAGACTGGATATATGCACTTTTTACACGAGAAAAAACTGTCGTATCTGTAATAGGTTTATATTTACTTGATCGTTGACTGACTGATAACTGCATACTGAACATTTTTGTACGATATAGAATCATTGTATGGCTCTCTAATAGTAGGTTCACATAAGAGCTTCCATGGAATATGTTAACGTTAACTCTCCTTTTTGTATATTTTTTTATATTTAACTATGTAAATAATAATGGAGAATTTGTTCACTATTACCGTGATTCATGTCAATGAAAGCATTTCCTTTCTAATAAATTGTATTTAATTCGTCTTTATCATTTGTATTGCATTCAGTGATCAGTGCTTAACTAACCTACAACGCTGTCAAACGTGAGAGGCAAGTGTACAAATTGTATTATCAGTTACCAATATCAAAGTGTTTGATAAATGTTTCTTTCCGATTTGGAAATTTTAAAATTTGGACTGGAAAAGCAAAACGTCTGGACGCGTTGTTTTTCGCATGAATTGTCATAAATAATTTCATAAAAGCTGTTGTATGATTCTTTATTATGTCGGAGGTTAGTTTCGATGTGTTGGTCGGGTTTTTGTTTCATATAAGTATCGCACAGTCGACTCGATTGACTCAGAAAAACTCAACAATGGTCTCTACTAATGATTCTATGTAAGCAGCTTTGACAATTGGATCGTACATCTCAATTTGTTCACCATGTCAGTAATCTTCTGTATTTTTTCAGATAACAGGTATTTTGGAATGGTGATACATCAGGAGGGATTTGAAGAATTGCCCACCAGTAGCAGTTTGCAATTTATGATTGTATAAGAAACTTCTATCTTGGAATGCTGGACTCTGGTTGAATACTCTTTCGCAGTCGGTAGTGGAAAATGCAAATTGTCAGCCAGTAATTTATCCCTATCTGTAGACAATTTGAATGCTTACCGAAGCTAATTATGTTATGGTTTTTATATGTGCCATTGCAAACCTTGATAATCGGTTTGTGGACACAGGGAGCATTTTATTTCATCGATAGTTTTGTCAACGTACTCGTTTAAATTATTGCAAGAGGAGAAATGCAAACTTTTTTTTCATGGAAACATGCTTTTCCTGTGTACCAATGTGCTCAAATAAGGTGCAGAATACGATAAATTCTGATTTTAAGTTTTATGTCTTCAGAAATCTGAGTATTAGTAACGAGGTTTACTTATAAGGCTTGTGTAATTATAGTGCATAATAATAACTCGAATAACTCTTTTCTATAAATTTATCGTATGAATGGAAAATATTGAATTTTTAAGAGCAACTGTGAATGTTTTCGACATAATGATGTAATTATACATTGCCTATTTTTGTAAATATTTTTGATTGGTAGATTTATTTAAACTGTTCCTGATTAGAAGTAAAATTGTCTTGGCTATAATTAATAAATAAATGCGATTCTAGTAAGTGCATGTAGTGTTATTTGCTAGATAGAAAATATGAAGCTTTAGATTATACTTAATTATATACAATACCAAGAATCTTAATGCTATTATAAATTTCAGACATAGACAATGAATACACGGAGTATATTTTATGATAGTAAATCCAGGTTGTTTTTTGCCTTTTCTAAATCATGGAAGAATTTGTAAAATTCAGTCAATGTCATCTCCGTAAAGACGCTGCTAGTCTTTCCGGCTGTATCTATGAGAAGCCTGAGCTGGAAAAACATTTTTCCAGCTTTATCCAATTCGCTACTTGCTGCGGTCACTGTAGACATAAAAATTCATAATCTAGTATCGTTCGAATGCATATTATTACTTAAGCAATATGACATGTGCATGTTTTTAGCAACACATGTGGATTACATTTTAAAATTAAAGTCAAAGACTCTCATACAAAAATAAGAGACTGTTATAACAATGCTTTTATGATCTATGGTCTTAAAAAAAGATGTTCTTATACGTGTACACTCAATTTAGCACTACATGTATTTGACAACCTAACCAAACTTTCCTTTTTCTTAAACAATTAGTAAGGCAACAAATATAAATGTTTACCCCCAAATTTCCAGGAAACGTCAAGAATTTTACTGAAAGCAATATCCATTTTGTGATCAGCCAGTCCAATTCATTGCCATAAATACATGAATAAATTCAGGGATGACATTTTCAGCAGCCAACACCTTTTAATCAATTGTTATCAATTGATGAAATAGGAAACTGCACTTGGATTAGACGTGGACCGCCATCTTTGCTTTGTATCAGGTACTCGGATCGATGAACTATCTGATCTATTATCGATAAATCCAATAATCATCGGTGTTACCGACGTAAATGAGAACCGATGTACGTAGTAATTCTTCTATTATCAGGATGTAAATATTATGTTGATGTATCATATCCCTCAGAGATGGCGCTAACGTCTAATATCACTCCTTGAAATGAAGCATCGAGTACCGCAAAATTCCGCATTCGAGGCGGCGCTAGTATAATAAAAAAATGATTTTCGTGCATCGGGACCATGGATCTAATTGTAAAAAAGAACAGACGAAGCATAAAATTAGATTTAAATGATTACCTACCTTTTTCCTACTCGATCATCCAGCGCGTTGATTTTAGTACCCCTCATTCCGTGTGTCTGCATTCACGTGCTTTATTACAATAGATATAGAAATATTGATGCTAGAGTATATCTTATGCTCGAATTAGAAAGAACTACGCTTTGAAAATTCTGAGAAAATGTATATTTAGAATTGTTAATATCAGAGTACCGCTCAACGCGTCAGGTGTCGCACAGAGCGCGGTGCATCTCGGACCTTCACCCACGACGCGTTGCGGCGCCGCGCTCTGTGCGACATCCGACGCTCTCGGTAGAATTCCGGCTTAATTTTCGAGGGAGTTTTATCACTTTCCACGAAGTCTGTAATTCTGAGTTTCATCCTGCCACGCAGAGAGACTCGTCCCATCTCTCATTCGCAATTAAATCCGCGAATGTTCTTTTTCTCCCTTCCCGCGCGTCCGTTTTTCGGTTTATTCACGTATTTTGTCCGGGTTAATTATCTCATGGCCCAGACTCGAGTAAACGAGCAAACATTATTCGAATAAATAGGTTTCACGCGCGCTTTAGTTGAACGTGTATTTTTAGCGATTGAAAGTCTCTCGTTCAATAAAGTCTGATTTATTTTTTTTCCATTTACAGCACGGTTCGACTGGTCTCATATTATGGTTTCACCAGGACGTCAATTTCGTGGAATTTCCTCCAAGGTTTGCAGATCTTCTCTAATGCCAAGAGCCCGCGTTAATCTCAATTGCAGAAGGCACGAATGTTATATTTTTAGCGATTTAGAACCTCTCGTTCAATTGAGTCTGATTTACTTTTTTCTATTTGTAGCACGGTCTCATATTATGGTTTCACCAGGACGTCAATCTCATGGAATTTCCTCCAAGGTTTGCAGATCTTCTCTAATGCCAAGAGCCCGCGTTAATCTCAATTGCAGAAGGCACGAATGTTATATTTTTAGCGATTTAGAACCTCTCGTTCAATGGAGTCTGATTTACTTTTTCTCTATTTCCAGCACGTTTGGACTGGTCTCATATGATGGTTTCACTGGGACGCCAATCTCGTGGAATTTCCTCCAAGGTTGGGCAGCCTTCTCTAATGCGAAGAGTCCGCGTTAATCTCAATTGCAGAAGGCACGGATGTTATGTTTTTAGCGATTTAGAACCTCTCGTTCAATTGAGTCTGATTGACTTTTTTCTTTGCCATTTTCAGCATGTTTCGACCGGTCGTCCATAATGGTTTCACCAGAAATTTCCTCCAAGGTTGGCAGGCCTCCTCTAATGCGAAGAGCTCGCGTTAATCTCAATTGCAGAAGGCACGAATGTTGTACTTTTAGCGATCGAAAGCCTCTCGTTCAATTGAGTCTGATTGACTTTTTTCTTTGCCATTTTCAGCATGTTTCGACCGGTCGTCCATAACGGTTTCACCAGAAATTTCCTCCAAGGTTGGCAGGCCTCCTCTAATGCGAAGAGCTCGCGTTAATCTCAATTGCAGAAGGCATGAATGGGCGACGTAAAGAGCGAGCTTTGAAAAAGCGATTCGAGTTTACAATGCGTCCGGAGTACCGGCGGGTACTAGCCATTCCCGATCATAACCCGTGAAAGTTTGAGGTCGTATTAAACTTTATATTGCCACTTCCGCAGAAGAGGGCTTTATACACGACTTGGCCGCTGCGGTGTGTGCCCGTGTATGAGAGAGTTACGATAAGAATTTATGAGTGACGTTTCGTTACGCTTCACGTAATAAATCTCTTTTAGATATTGCGTCGAGGTGGATCTTCCCGGTGTATATGTAACGCCGGTTGTAAATAGCCGGCTCCAATGGATCCCTGGACGTATCGGCGATAAAGGGCGAATATAAGGCCGAGGTTACAGTCGATAAAGGACCACGCATAAGGACGAGCCGCAGTCGATAAAGGGAGGACGAGAAATTAGCCTCGGTCCTTTTCCATGGTCCGATCGACCCCCGATCCCCTGGACCGCAAAACGAATCGTTATCGGCTCGGCCCGTAATGCATGTACAGTCATTCGACGAGTTGTAAAACAAGGGATAAACTTTGGTGCACTGCCAGGTGTGCGGTTGCAAGCTCTGCGAGGGTGTAAATGTACTCCGGGCTGTAAAGACGTCTATAATCGTTAATACGCTGGCCGTGAACATTCGGATGCGCTCCGCCCTGATACCGTGTCACGCTTTGACCCGGTTCTTATCACGGATAGACACGTTCTTCTCCGATACGAGGATTACCCGTACACGGGGGTTATTGCGTAGTTAGCGATAATTATCCGGAAATACCGCGGCCGAGGCGCAGACCGAGAAATGGAGTACATGCTCTAATAGGCCGTGCAGAAATCTGTATCGATTATTATTGTAAGTGCTCGCATGTGCAGCACCGGCTCGTTAATGCGCCGCGGCCGCGATGTCGACGGTGCTACAATTAATTTGGCCAGATTTATCGGGTGTATTTAGGAATGATCGGCGGTGGCGTACATAAAACCCGGTATAAAACGCGGGGGCATTATGTGTCACATAAATAATGCATGCCGCAGGGCGGACGTTCCCATGACGTGTTCCCCTGGGCTCAGCCGATCGTCCCTGCCTTCTCGGAGCTCTTCTTCGCGAAGTACTTGCTGTGAAAAATGGAAGGGACGATTTTTCAGATTCCTGGAACGAGCGGCTCACTGCCTGGCCATTGGGACAGGTGAAAATCTTCTTCGGGGTCCTCGTCGAGGGAAGGAAGTGGAAAATATTGGCTCTCTCGTCCCGAATCCGAGCCGAGCTCGAGGAGAACCGCCGAGAAGATTCTCGGAGTCTGCGGATTACTTACTGATAAGTTATCGTGGGCACCAGGACCATGACCACCGATAATGTCGCCGTTACCATGATGCTCGCCAGAATTGCGGCTTGGCTTGCGGACGTCTTGGGACGGCTGGCAGAGTCTTCATCCTGAAATGGATTTCATGTAATCGCTACTTTAAGCAGTTTATGTTCCCGAGGCTAAGAGGAAAGTACCAGCTCGGGAGACAACCAGTACGGATCATGATTTCGATTTTTCTGCGCTTGATTTCGATCGCGGAAGAACATGTTACTCGTCTGCATGCATGTATAATCGGAGACCGGGTTTTTTTATAGCTGAAATCATTTATAAGACGTTATACAATGCAGTTTATGTAACCTTGACGCGAGTGATCGACTCGTGCGAGTCATTGCGAAGTCTATGACTTATTCATTGATCCAGGTGCATATACGTTGACTTGATAAATGGGTTTTCTTTTTTTTTTTTGCAGAAACGAACGACCTTGCCATTAAATGGACACTTAGGAAATAAATGACCAGGCTTGAGATTATATTCCGAAGGGGGAGAGGACGGTTGAATCCCGAGCACGGATGGCGTTAAAGATACTCCAAGCGATTCAGGAAACGGAATGGATGACCTTATTAATTAAGCCGTGATTATGACTAAGTGGGAAATAGTAAGAAACCGCGACGCACCGGGGCGAAGGGGGTCGAGGGTTGCGACAATTAATGTGTACCGCAAAGTAGAAGGGTGGAAGTTTAGGAGTACTCGCAAACTCCCATTGCGCGTCATACATCCCGCTGTTACACGAGTCCTGGCGGGATGCGAAGTGGTATCCTCGATTAGAATTCGGGCTGCACTTTGCACAAGAAGGTCCTAATCCCTTAAGTGTAGCGATAACAAACGTAACTTTATAATCGAGTTGCCGACACGTGCACCCCTGAGTGCACTTATACCCCCTTCGTTCCTCCTATAGTTCTCTGACTGCGTCTCTTCCTTACTTCGAGTCTCTCGTTAATGAGAGAAATAGGAGATAGAAAAGAATGTCCACGGGTAATTAAATGCACCGCGCGAAGGATTGCACCATAGATTCGGCCGTGGCCTCAAACTCGAGGAAGGAAGGTCGCAAACGATGTAATCACTGTCTCCTTGATTCCGTTTCTAATGTCAGACGTGCAGCGGTCTCTTCTTGGCATCGCCACCAGTCGAAGCCATTAGCGATTATTCCGCATCCGGAATAATTCCGCATTGTACCTTCGGCGCGAGCACCTCGAGCGATTCCATGCTGGACTAGATCGTGGAAATCGAAGCCGAATAAATTTCGGAATTTGGATGTTTGGAAATTTAGAAGAATCCGAGGTCGTTGCCACGCTTCCGGCTTGGTGCAACTTTTCCGCAGGTCAGTCCGGAATGAAGCCGCAACCTGCTGTGTTTCTCAGGCTCCTTGACTTCCTTTTTGCAGGCCTTTGCAATCACCGACCACGACGGGTTCTCGACTTCTCGGCCTGCATTTTAACTCGGCTCTGAGACTAATTTCCACCCAAATGTCGCAATTTGCTGATTACACCCTGCTCCACGTTCGTGGCGTGTTCCCGATGCCAAAGGACTGGGTCTGTTTAGCTCGCCGTTCTAAGAGGAATGCCGGGTGATTATCTTCCCGGTGACAAGGTAAAAGGTAGATATGCCCTGCTAATTGGTGCTAACTGCGCAAACGGTGCCCGCTGTACACGCTAATTCACCGGGAATGTGTTCACGTGGCACGCAACGTGCCACAAATGCGACTAAGTTGTGGTGTACGCAGGGTGTTGGGTTGGAATCATCCTGGTTGTGTGAAGAATGCTCTCCTG